AATTTTGTGTCAATATGACAAAGCGTTCAGGCGTGACACTCAACAATGTGTCTTTTTATGTAAGGGGACAAGAAAAAATTGCCTTTTTTCTCCTACCATGGGGGGGCGCTCTTTTGGGGAGTAAAAATTCCTTCACAAATGTGTTGATGGCTGGACATTGCATCATCCTAGAAAACTTGGAGGCCAGTGAGGACAGAAATAAAAAGTTATAAAACATTTAAGAATGTGGATTTTTGGGTTATCTTTGGCGCCCCCTAGAACCTAAACCATGGGGTGCAGCATCATGATTTGAATAACTTTTAATGGCCATGGGGTGTAGATTGGCCTGAGCAAATGTGGTGCCGGTGGAACGAAAGCCTTCGGAGGAGTTAGCGAAATTCCAATGTGTGCGTATCGGCAAAAAATGCAGAATAACCCTTTAACTGTACATTTGACAGATACGCGCGCACTGACTTTTTTGTAGATCTTATTGAGTTACATGTGTGTGTCAATTTTTGTGTCATTTTGACAAAGCGTATAGGCGTGACACTCAACAATGTGTATTTTCACCTTAGGGGAAAAGAAAAAATTGACTTTTTTCTCCTGCCATGGGGGGCGCTCTTTTGGGGAGTAAAAATTCCTTCACAAATGTGTTGATGGCTGGACATTGCATCATCCTAGAAAACTTGGAGGCCAGTGAGGACAAAAATAAAAAGTTATAAGACTTTTAAAAATGTGGATTTTAGGGTTATCTTTGGCGCCCCCTAGAACCTAAACCGTGGGGTGCAGCGTCATGATTTGAATAACTTTTAATGGCCATGGGGTGTAGATTGGCCTGAGCAAATGTGGTGCCGGTGGAACGAAAGCCTTCGGAGGAGTTAGCGAAATTCCAATGTGTGCGGATCGGCAAAAAATGCGAAATAACCCTTTAACCGTACATTTGACAGATACGCCCGCACTGACTTTTTTGTAGATCTTATTGAGCTACATGTGTGTGTCAATTTTTGTGTCATTTTGACAAAGCGTACACGCGTGACAGTCAATAGTGTGAATTTTCACCTTAGGGGGCGCTATGGAGCCATTTTGCATTTTCTTGTTTGGGCGACTTCGGAATATCAAATTTTTCACCAGGCCCGGTCGTCCTGCCAAATTTCCTGAGTTTTCGCCAGTGGGAAGTGGGCCATTTTCCAGTTCAAAGGGGAGGAAAAAGAAGAAAGAAAGAAAGAAAGAAACAAAGAAAAACCCCTTGGGGAATAATAGGGCCTACGCCCGGCTGCTCTGCAGCTGGCTCGGGCCCTAAAAAGAAACAAAGAAAAACCCCTTGGGGAATAATAGGGCTCTCGCAGCTGCTTAGCAGCTACGCTCGGGCCCTAACTAGGGCCCCGGTGGGGCACTGTCGGGCCCGAGCCGCGTCGCGCCGCCCCCAGCGCGACCGCCTCCCCCTCCCGATCGCGTCACACTCAAGGTCCAAAGATGGTGTGCGCACTTGTCTGTGGTCATTTCCCATTATAATGAATGGAGGCGCAGTTTCTACCAAAACACTCGCTGCAGACAAACTACATGTCCTATTTGAAAAAAGTCTGGACCATGAATGAGGGCACAAACACAGCTAGGATATATCCAAATGGCAAGTTGCTCCTCCTTACGGTGTTGCTGGGAGAGCGATGCGATTGAGCCATTGACCGATGGGCAGGGTTAACTTGACTTTTTCTCCTGCCTTGGGGGGGGGGGGGGGGGGGGGGGCGATGTGGATTCTTTTAAGAATGTGGATATTTGGGTCATCTTTGGCGCCCCCTTGAACGTAAACCGTGGGGAGCAGCGTCATGATTTCTACAACTTTGAATGGCCATGGGATGTAGATCGGCTTGAGCAAATTTGGTGTTGGTGGGACGAAAGCCTTAGGAGGAGTTAGCCACATTCCAATGTGTGCGAATCGGCAAAAAATGCGAAATAGCCCTTTAACCGTACATTTTACAGATACGTGCTCATTGACTTTTTCGTAGATCTTATTGAGATACACGTGTGTGTCAAATTTTGTGTCATTTTGACAAAGCGTATAGGCGTGACAGTCAACAATGTGTTTTTTCACCTTAGGGGACAAGAAAAAATGGACTCTTTTCTCCTGCCATGGGGGGGCGCTCTTTTTCGGGAGTAAAAATTCCTTTACAAATGTGTTGATGGCTGGACATTGCATCATCCTAGAAAACTTGGAGGCCAGTGAGGACAAAAATAAAAAGTTATAAGACTTTTAAGAATATGGATATTTGGGTCATCTTTGGCGCCCCCTAGAACGTAAACCGTGGGGTGCAGCGTCATGATTTTTACAACTTTGAATGGCCATGGGGTGTAGATTGGCCTGAGCAAATTTGGTGTCAGTGGGACGAAAGCTTTAGGAGGAGTTAGCCACATTCCAATGTGTGCGAATCAGCAAAAAATGCAAAATAGCCCTTTAACCGTACATTTTACAGATACGTGCCCATTGACTTTTTCGTAGATCTTATTGAGATACACGTGTGTGTCAATTTTTGTGTCAATATGACAAAGCGTACAGGCGTGACAGTCAACAATGTGTATTTTCACCTTAGGGGACAAGAAAAAATGGACTTTTTTCTCCTGCCATGTGGGGGCGCTCTTTTGGGGAGTAAAAATTCCTTCACAAATGTGTTGATGGCTGGACATTGCATCATCCTAGAGAACTTGGAGGCCAGTGAGGACAAAAATAAAAAGTTATAAGACTTTTAAGAATGTGGATTTTTTGGTTATCTTTGGCGCCCCCTAGAACCTAAACCGTGGGGTGCAGCGTCATGATTTGTACAACTTTCGATGGCCATGGGGTGTAGATTGGCCTGAGCAAATGTGGTGCCGGTGGAACGAAAGCCTTCGGAGGAGTTAGCGAAATTTCAATGTGTGCGGATCGGCAAAAAATGCGAAATAACCCTTTAACCGTACATTTGACAGATACGCCCGCACTGACTTTTTTGTAGATCTTATTGAGATACATGTGTGTGTCAAGTTTTGTGTCAATATGGCAAAGCGTACAGGCGTGACAGTCAACAGTGTGAATTTCCACCTTAGGGGGCGCTATGGAGCCATTTTGCATTTTATTCTTTGGGCGACTTCAGAATATCGAATTTTTCACCAGGCCCGGTCGTCCTGCCAAATTTCATGAGTTTTCGCCAGTGGGAAGTGGGCCATTTTCCAGTTTAAAGCGGAGGAAAAATAATAACTAGGGCCCCGGTGGGGCACTGTCGGGCCCGAGCCGCGTCGCGCCACCCCCAGCGCGACCGCCTACCCATCCCGATCGCGTCACACTCAAGGTCCAAAGATGGTGTGCGCACTTGTCTGTGGTCATTTACCATTATAATGAATGGGAGGCGCAGTTTCTACCAAAACGCTCGCAGCAGACAAACTCCATGTCCTTTTTGAAAAAAGTCTGGACCATGAGTGAGGGCACAAACACAGCTAGTATATATCCAAATGGCAAGTTGCTCCTCCTTTCGGTTTTGCCGAGAGAGCGATGCGTTTGAGCCATTGAGCGATGGGCAGGAAAAACTTGACTTTTTCTCCTGCCATGGGGGGGGCGCTCTTTTGGGGAAAAAAATTCCTTCACAAATGTGTTGATGGCTGGACATTGCATCATCCTAGAAAACTTGGAGGCCAGTGAGGACAAAAATAAAAAGTTATAAGACTTTAAAGACTGTGGATTTTTGGGTTATCTTTGGCGCCCCCTAGAACGTAAACCGTGGGGTGCAGCGTCATGATTTGTACAACTTTTAATGGCCATGGGGTGTAGATTGACCTGAGCAAATTTGAAGCAGATGGGACAAAAGCTTTAGGAGGAGTTAGCCACATTCCAATGTGTGCGAATCGGCAAAAAATGCGAAATAGCCCTTTAACCGTACATTGAACAGATACGCTCGCATTGACTTTTTCGTAGATCTTATTGAGATACATGTGTGTGTCAAATTTTGTGTCATTTTGACAAAGCGTAAAGGCGTGACAGTCAACAATGTGTATTTTCGCCTTAGGAGACAAGAAAAAATGGACTTTTTTCTCCTGCCATGGGGGGGCGCTCTTTTGGCGAGTAAAAATTCCTTCACAAATGTGTTGATGGCTGGACATTGCATCATCCTAGAGAACTTGGAGGCCAGTGAGGACAAAAATAAAAAGTTATAAGACTTTTAAGACTGTGGATATTTGGGTTATCTTTGGCGCCCCCTAGAACCTAAACCGTGGGGTGCAGCGTCATGATTTGTACAACTTTTAATGGCCATGGGGTGTAGATTGGCCTGAGCAAATGTGGTGCCGGTGGAACGAAAGCCTTCGGAGGAGTTAGCGAAATTCCAATGTGTGCGGATCTGCAAAAAATGCGAAATAACCCTTTTACCGTACATTTGACAGATACGCCCGCACTGGCTTTTTTGTAGATCTTATTGAGATACATGTGTATGTCAATTTTTGTGTCAATATGACAAAGCGTACAGGCGTGACAGTCAATAGTGTGAATTTTCGCCTTAGGAGACAAGAAAAAATGGACTTTTTTCTCCTGCCATGGGGGGGCGCTCTTTTGGCGAGTAAAAATTCCTTCACAAATGTGTTGATGGCTGGACATTGCATCATCCTAGAGAACTTGGAGGCCAGTGAGGACAAAAATAAAAAGTTATAAGACTTTTAAGACTGTGGATTTTTGGGTTATCTTTGGCGCCCCCTAGAACGTAAACCGTGGGGTGCAGCGTCATGATTTGTACAACTTTTATTGGCCATGGGGTGTAGATTGGCCTGAGCAAATGTGGTGCCGGTGGAACGAAAGCCTTCGGAGGAGTTAGCGAAATTCCAATGTGTGCGGATCGGCAAAAAATGCGAAATAACCCTTTAACCGTACATTTGACAGATACGCCCGCACTGACTTTTTCGTAGATCTTATTGAGATACATGTGTGTGTCAATTTTTGTGTCAATATGACAAAGCGTAAAGGCGTGACAGTCAATAGTGTGAATTTTCACCTTAGGGGGCGCTTTGGAGCCATTTTGCATTTTATTGTTTGGGCGACTTCAGAATATCGAATTTTTCACCAGGCCCGGTCGTCCTGCCAAATTTCATGAGTTTTCGCCAGTGGGAAGTGGGCCATTTTCCCCTTCAAAGGGGAGGAAAAATAAGAAGAAAGAAAGAAAGAAAGAAAGAAGAAAGAAAAACCTATACAGGAATAATAGGAATCTACGCCCGGCTGCTCTGCAGCTGGCTCGGGCCCTAATAACTAGGGCCCCGGTGGGGCACTGTCGGGCCCGAGCCGCGTCGCGCCGCCCCCAGCGCGACCGCCTCCCCCTCCCGATCGCGTCACACTCAAGGTCCAAAGATGGTGTGCGCACTTGTCTGAGGTCATTTCCCATTATAATGAATGGGAGGCGCAGTTTCTACCAAAACGCTCGCTGCAGACAAACTACATGTCCTATTTGAAAAAAGTCTGGACCATGAGTGAGGGCACAAACACAGCTAGTATATATCCAAATGGCAAGTTGCTCCTCCTTTCGGTTTTGCAGAGAGAGCGATGTGTTTGAGCCATTGAGCGATGGGCAGGAAAAACTTGACTTTTTCTCCTGCCATGGGGGGGCGCTCTTTTGGGGAGAAAAAATTCCTTCACAAATGTGTTGATGGCTGGACATTGCATCATCCTAGAAAACTTGGAGGCCAGTGAGGACAAAAATAAAAAGTTATAAGACTTTTAAAAATGTGGATATTTGGGTCCTCTTTGGCGCCCCCTAGAACGTAAACCGTGGGGTGCAGCGTCATGATTTGTACAACTTTTAATGGCCATGGGGTGTAGATTGGCCTGAGCAAATGTGGTGCCGGTGGAACGAAAGCCTTCGGAGGAGTTAGCGAAATTCCAATGTGTGCGGATCGGCAAAAAATGCGAAATAACCCTTTAACCGTACATTTGACAGATACGCCCGCACTGACTTTTTTGTAGATCTTATTGAGATACATGTGTGTGTCAAATTTTGTGTCATTTTGACAAAGCGTAAAGGCGTGACAGTCAACAATGTGTATTTTCGCCTTAGGAGACAAGAAAAAATGGACTTTTTTCTCCTGCCATGGGGGGGCGCTCTTTTGGCGAGTAAAAATTCCTTCACAAATGTGTTGATGGCTGGACATTGCATCATCCTAGTGAACTTGGAGGCCAGTGAGGACAAAAATAAAAAGTTATAAGACTTTTAAGACTGTGGATTTTTGGGTTATCTTTGGCGCCCCCTAGAACGTAAACCGTGGGGTGCAGCGTCATGATTTGTACAACTTTTAATGGCCATGGGGTGTAGATTGGCCTGAGCAAATGTGGTGCCGGTGGAACGAAAGCCTTCGGAGGAGTTAGCGAAATTCCAATGTGTGCGGATCGGCAAAAAATGCGAAATAGCCCTTTCACTGTACATTTGACAGATACGCCCGCACTGACTTTTTTGTAGATCTTATTGAGATACATGTGTGTGTCAATTTTTGTGTCAATATGACAAAGCGTAAAGACGTGACAGTCAATAGTGTGAATTTTCGCCTTAGGAGACAAGAAAAAATGGACTTTTTTCTCCTGCCATGGGGGGGCGCTCTTTTGGGGAGTAAAAATTCCTTCACAAATGTGTTGATGGCTGGACATTGCATCATCCTAGAAAACTTGGAGGCCAGTGAGGACAAAAATAAAAAGTTATACGACTTTTAAGAATGTGGATTTCTGGGTTATCTTTGGCGCCCCCTAGAACGTAAACCGTGGGATGCAGCGTCATGATTTGTACAACTTTTAATGGCCATGGGGTGTAGATTGGCCTGAGCAAATTTGGTGCCGGTGGAACAAAAGCCTTCGGAGGAGTTAGCGAAATTCCAATGTGTGCGGATCGGCAAAAAATGCGAAATAGCCCTTTAACCGTACATTTGACAGATACGCCCGCCTGACTTTTTTGTAGATCTTATTGAGATACACGTGTGTGTCAAATTTTGTGTCATTTTGACAAAGCGTACAGGCGTGACACTCAATCATGTGAATTTTTCACCTTAGGGGGCGCTATGGAGCCATTTTGCATTTGATTTTTTGGGCGACTTCAGAATATCGAATTTTTCACCAGGCCCGGTCGTCCTGCCAAATTTCATGACTTTTCACCAGTGGGAAGTGGGCCATTTTCCAGTTCAAAGGGGCAGAAAAATAATAAGAAGAAGAAGAAGAAAGAAGAATCCATCAGGAATAATAGGGCTCTCGCAGCTGCTTAGCAGCTACGCTCGGGCCCTAATAACAAAAGAAGAATCCATCAGGAACAAGAGGGCTCTCGCAGCTGCTTAGCAACTACGCTCGGGCCCTAACTAGGGCCCCGGTGGGGCACTGTCGGGCCCGAGCCGCGTCGTGCCGCCCCCAGCGTGACCGCCTCCCCCTCCCGATCGCGTCACACTCAAGGTCCAAAGATGGTGTGCGCACTTGTCTGTGGTCATTTCCCATTATAATGAATGGGAGGCGCAGTTTCTACCAAAACACTCGCTGCAGACAAACTTCATGTCCTATTTGAAAAAAGTCTGGACCATGAGTGAGGGCACAAACACAGCTGGGATATATCCAAATGGCAGGTTGCTCCTCGTTACGGTGTTGCCTGGAGAGCGATGCGATTGAGCCATTGAGCGATGGGCAGGAAAAACTTGACTTTTTCTCCTGCCATGGGGGGGGGGAGAATGTGGATTCTTTTAAGAATGTGGATTTTTTGGTCATCTTTGGCGCCCCCTAGAACGTAAACCGTGGGGTGCAGCGTCATGATTTTTAAAACTTTGAATGGCCATGGGGTGTAGATTGGCCTGAGCAAATTTGGTTTCAGTGGGACGAAAGCCTTAGGAGGAGTTAGCCACATTCCAATGTGTGCGAATCGGCAAAAAATGCAAAATAGCCCTCTAACTGTACATTTGACAGATACGCACCCATTGACTTTTTCGTAGATCTTATTGAGATACACGTGATTGTCAAATTTTGTGTCAATATGACAAAGCGTACAGGTGTCACACTCAACAATGTGAATTTTCACCTTACGGGACAAGAAAAAATTGAATTTTTTTTTCCTGCCATGGGGGGGCGCTCTTTTGGGGAGTAAAAATTCCTTCACAAATGTGTTGATGGCTGGACATTGCATCATCCTAGAAAACTTGGAGGCCAGTGAGGACAAAAATAAAAAGTTATAAGACTTTGAAATATGTGGATTTTAGGGTTATCTTTGGCGCCCCCTAGAACCTAAACCGTGGGGTGCAGCGTCATGATTTGAATAACTTTTAATGGCCATGGGGTGTAGATTGGCCTGAGCAAATGTGGTGCCGGTGGAACGCCAGCCTTAGGAGGAGTTAGCGAAATTCCAATGTGTGCGGATCAGCAAAAAATGCGGAATAACCCTTTAACCGTACATTTGACAGATACGCGCGCGTTGACTTTTTCGTAGATCTTATTGAGATACATGTGTGTGTCAAATTTTGTGTCAATATGACAAAGCGTACAGGCGTGACACTCAACAATGTGTTTTTTCACCTTAGGGGACAAGAAAAAATGGACTTTTTTCTCCGGCCATGGGGGGGCGCTCTTTTGGGGAGTAAAAATTCCTTCACAAATGTGTTGATGGCTGGACATTGCATCATCCTAGAAAACTTGGAGGCCAGTGAGGGCAAAAGTAAAAAGTTATAAGACTTTTAAATATGTGGATTTTAGGGTTATCTTTGGCGCCCCCTAGAACCTAAACCGTGGGGTGCAGCGTCATGATTTGAATAACTTTTAATGGCCATGGGGTGTAGATTGGCCTGAGCAAATGTGGTGCCAGTGGAAAGAAAGCCTTCGGAGGAGTTAGCGAAACTCCAATGTGTGTGGATCGGCAAAAAATGCGGAATAACCCTTTAACCGTACATTTGACAGATACGCCTGCACTGACTTTTTTGTAGATCTTATTGAGATACATATGTGTGTCAATTTTTGTGTCATTTTGACAAAGCGTAAAGGCGTGACAGTCAATAGTGTGAATTTTCACCTTAGGGGGCGCTATGGAGCCATTTTGCATTTTCTTGATTGGGCGACTTCGGAATATCAAATTTTTCACCAGGCCCGGTCATCCTGCCAAATTTCATGAGTTTTCGCCAGTGGGAAGTGGGCCATTTTCCAGTTCAAAGGGGAGGAAAAAGAAGAAAGAAAGAAAGAAAGAAACAAAGAAAAACCACTTGGGGAATAATAGGGCTCTCGCAGCTGCTTAGCAGCTACGCTCGGGCCCTAAAGAAAGAAACAAAGAAAAACCACTTGGGGAATAATAGGGCCTACGCCCGGCTGCTCTGCAGCTGGCTCGGGCCCTAACTAGGGCCCCGGTGGGGCACTGGTGGGCCCGAGCCGTGTCGCGCCGCCCCCAGCGCGACCGCCTACCCCTCCCGATCGCGTCACACTCAAGGTCCAAAGATGGTGTGCGCACTTGTCTGTGGTCATTTACCATTATAATGAATGGGAGGCGCGGTTTCTACCAAAATGCTCGCTGCAGACGAACTCCATGTCCTTTTTGAAAAAAGTCTGGACCATGAGTGAGGGCACAAACACAGCTTCGATATATCCACATGGCAAGTTGCTCCTCCTTTCGGTTTTGCCAAGAGAGCGATGCGTTTGAGCCATTGAGCGATGGGCAGGAAGAACTTGACTTTTTCTCCTGCCATGGGGCGCTCTTTTGGGGAGAAAAAATTCTTTCACAAATGTGTTGATGGCTGGACATTGCATCATCCTAGAAAACTTGGAGGCCAGTGAAGACAAAAATAAAAAGTTATAGGACTTTTAAAAATGTGGATATTTGGGTCCTCTTTGGCGCCCCCTAGAACGTAAACCGTGGGGTGCAGCGTCATGATTTGTACAACTTTGAATGGCCATGGGGTGTAGATTTGCCTGAGCAAATGTGGTGTCAGTGGGACGAAAGCTTTAGGAGGAGTTAGCCACATTCCAATGTGTGCTAATCGGCGAAAAATGCGAAATAGCCCTTTAACCGTACATTTTACAGATACGTGCACATTGACTTTTTCGTAGATCTTATTGAGATACACTTGATTGTCAAATCTTGTGTCAATATGACAAAGCGTACAGGCGTGACACTCAACAATGTGTATTTTCGCCTTAGGGGACAAGAAAAAATGGACTTTTTTCTCCTGCCATGGGGGGGCGCTCTTTTGGCAAGTAAAAATTCCTTCACAAATGTGTTAATTGCTGGACATTGCATCATCCTAGAGAACTTGGAGGCCAGTGAGGACAAAAATAACTAGGGCCCCGTTGGGGCACTGGCGGGCCCGAGCCATGTCACGCCGCCCTCAGCGCGACCGCCTCCCCCACCCGATCGCGTCACACTCAAGGTCCAAAGATGGTGTGCGCACTTGTTTGTGGTCATTTACCATTATAATGAACGGGAGGCGCAGTTTCTACCAAAACGCTCGCTGCAGAAAAACTCCATGTCCTATTTGAAAAAAGTCTGGACCATGAGTGAGGGCACAAACACAGCTAAGATATATCCAAATGGCAAGTTGCTCCTCCTTTCGCTTTTGCCGAGAGAGCAGTGCGTTTGAGCCATTGAATGATGAACAGGAAAAAATTGACTTTATTCTCCTGCCATGGGGGGGTGCTCTTTTAACGAGAAAAAACTCCTTCACAAATGTGTTGATGGCTGGACATTGCATCATCCTAGAAAACATGGAGGCCAGTGAGGACAAAAATAAAAAGTTATAAGACTTTTAAATATGTGGATTTTAGGGTTATCTTTGGCGCCCCCTAGAACCTAAACCGTGGGGTGCAGCGTCATGATTTTTACAACTTTGAATGGCCATGGGATGTAGATCGGCTTGAGCAAATTTGGTGTCGGTGGGAAGAAAGCCTTAGGAGGAGTTAGCCACATTCCAATGTGTGCGAATCGGCAAAAAATGCGAAATAGCCCTTTAACCGTAAATTTTACAGATACGTGCCCATTGACTTTTTCGTAGATCTTATTGAGATACACGTGTGTGTCAAATTTTGTGTCATTTTGACAAAGCGTATAGGCGTGACAGTCAACAATGTGTTTTTTCACCTTAGGGGACAAGAAAAAATGGACTTTTTTCTCCTGCCATGGGGGGGCGCTCTTTTCGGGAGTAAAAATTCCTTTACAAATGTGTTGATGGCTGGACATTGCATCATCCTAGAAAACTTGGAGGCCAGTGAGGACAAAAATAAAAAGTTATAAGACTATTAAGAATGTGGATTTTTGGGTTATCTTTGGCGCCCCCTAGAACCTAAACCGTGGAGTGCAGCGTCATGATTTGTACAACTTTTAATGGCCATGGGGTGTAGATTGGCCTGAGCAAATTTGGTGGCGGTGGAACTAAAGCCTTCGGAGGAGTAAGCGAAATTCCAATGTCTGCGGATCGGCAAAAAATGCGAAATAACCCTTTAACCGTACATTTTACAGATACGTGCCCATTGACTTTTTCGTAGATCTTATTGAGATACACGTGATTGTCAAATTTTGGGTCAATATAACAAAGCGTATAGGCGTGACACTCAACAATGTGTATTTTCACCTTAGGGGACAAGAAAAATTGGACTTTTTTCTCCTGCCATGTGGGGGCGCTCTTTTGGGGAGTAAAAATTCCTTCACAAATGTGTTGATGGCTGGACATTGCATCATCCTAGAGAACTTGGAGGCCAGTGAGGACAAAAATAAAAAGTTATAAGACTTTTAAGACTGTGGATTTTTGGGTTATCTTTGGCGCCCCCTAGAACGTAAACCGTGGGGTGCAGCGTCATGATTTGTACAACTTTCAATGGCCATGGGGTGTAGATTGGCCTGAGCAAATGTGGTGCCGGTGGAACGAATGCCTTCGGAGGAGTTAGCGAAATTCCAATGTGTGCAGATCGGCAAAAAATGCGAAATAACCCTCTAACCGTACATTTCACAGATGCGCCCGCGCTGACTTTTTCGTAGACCGTATTGAGATACACGTGTGTGTCAATTTTTGTGTCAATATGACAAAGCGTACAGGCGTGACAGTCAATAGTGTGAATTTTCACCTTAGGGGGCGCTATGGAGCCATTTTGCATTTTATTGTTTGGGCGACTTCAGAATATCGAATTTTTCACCAGGCCCGGTCGTCCTGCCAAATTTCATGAGTTTTCGCCAGTGGGAAGTGGGCCATTTTCCCCTTCAAAGGGGAGGAAAAATAAGAAGAAAGAAAGAAAGAAAGAAAGAAGAAAGACTAGGGCCCCGGTGGGGCACTGGCGGGCCCGAGCCGTGTCGCGCCGCCCCCAGTGCGACCGCCTACCCCTCCCGATCGCGTCACACTCAAGGTCCAAAGATGGTGTGCGCACTTGTCTGTGGTCATTTACCATTATAATGAATGGGAGGCGCAGTTTCTACCAAAACGCTCGCTGCAGACAAACTCCATGTCCTTTTTGAAAAAAGTCTGGACCATGAGTGAGGGCACAAACACAGCTAGTATATATCCAAATGGCAAGTTGCTCCTCCTTTCGGTTTTGCCGAGAGAGCGATACATTTGAGCCATTGAGCGATGGGCAGGAAAAACTTGACTTTTTCTCCTGCCATGGGGGGGCGCTCTTTTGGGGAGTAAAAATTCCTTCACAAATGTGTTGATGGCTGGACATTGCATCATCCTAGAAAACTTGGAGGCCAGTGAGCACAAAAATAAAAAGTTATAAGACTTTTAAAAATGTGGAAGTTTGGGTCCTCTTTGGCGCCCCCTAGAACGTAGACCGTGGGGTGCAGCGTCATGATTTTTACAACTTTGAATGGCCATGGGGTGTAGATTGGCCTGAGCAAATTTGGTGTCAGTGGGACGAAAGCCTTAGGAGGACTAAGCCACATTCCAATGTGTGCGAATCTGCAAAAAATGCGAAAAAGCCCTTTAACCGTACATTTTACAGATACGCGCGCATTGACTTTTTCGTAGATCTTATTGAGATGCACGTGATTGTCAAATTTTGTGTCAATATGACAAAGCGTACAGGCGTGACATTAAACAATGTGTATTTTCGCCTTGGGGGACAAGAAAAAATGGACTTTTTTCTCCTGCCATGGGGGGGCGCTCTTTTGGGGAGTAAAAATTCCTTCACAAATGTGTTGATGGCTGGACATTGCATCATCCTAGAGAACTTGGAGGCCAGTGAGGACAAAAATAAAAAGTTATAAGACTTTTAAGACTGTGGATTTTTGGGTTATCTTTGGCGCCCCCTAGAACCTAAACCGTGGGGTGCAGCGTCATGATTTGTACAACTTTGAATGGCCATGGGTTGTAGATTGGCCTGAGCAACTATGGTGTCAGTGGGACGAAAGCCTTCGGAGTTAGCGAAATTCCAATGTGTGCGAATCGGCAAAAAATGCAAAATAGCCCTTTTACCGTACATTATACAGATACGCGCTCTTTGACTTTTTCGTAGATCTAATTGAGATACACATGATTGTCAATTTTTGTGTCAATATGACAAAGAGTTCAGGCGTGACACTCAACAATGTGTATTTTCACCTTAGGGGACAAGAAAAAATTGACTTTTTTCTCCTGCCATGGGGGGGGCGCTCTTTTGGGGAGTAAAAATTCCTTCACAAATGTGTTGATGGCTGGACATTGCATCATCCTAGAAAACTTGGAGGCCAGTGAGGACAAAAATAAAAAGTTATAAGACTTTTAAATATGTGGATTTTAGGGTTATCTTTGGCGCCCCCTAGAACCTAAACCGTGGGGTGCAGCGTCATGATTTTTACAACTTTTAATGGCCATGGGGTGTAGATTGGCCTGAGCAAATTTGGTGCCGGTGGAACGAAAGCCTTCGGAGGAGTTAGCGAAATTCCAATGTGTGCGGATCGGCAAAAAATGCGAAATAAACCTTTAACCGTACATTATACAGATACGCGCTCTTTGACTTTTTCGTAGATCTTATTGAGATACACGTGTGTGTCAATTTTTGTGTCAATATGACAAAGCGTTTAGGCGTGACACTCAACAATGTGTATTTTCATGTTAGGGGACAAGAAAAACTTGACTTTTTTCTCCTGCCATGGGGGGGCGCTCTTTTAGGGAGTAAAAATTCCTTCACACATGTGTTGATGGCTGGACATAGCATCATCCTAGAAAACTTGGAGGCCAGTGAGGACAACAATAAAAAGTTATAAGACTTTTAAGAATGTGGATTTTTGGGTTATCTTTGGCACCCCCTAGAACATAAACCGTGGGGTGCAGCGTCATGATTTGTACAACTTTTAATGGCCATGGGGTGTAGATTGGCCTGAGCAAATTTGGTGCCGGTGGAACGAAAGCCTTCGGAGGAGTTAGCGAAATTCCAATGTGTGCGGATCGGCAAAAAATGCGAAATAGCCCTTTAACCGTACATTTGACAGATACGCCCGCACTGACTTTTTTGTAGATCTTATTGAGATACACATGTGTGTCAAATTTTGTGTCATTTTGACAAAGCGTACAGGTGTCAGGTGAGTTTTCACCATAGGGGGCGCTATGGAGCCATTTTTCATTTTTTTGTTTGGGCGACTTCAGAATATCAAATTTTTCACCAGGCCCGGTCGTCCTGCCAAATTTCCTGAGTTTTCGCCAGTGGGAAGTGGGCCATTTTCCAGTTTAAAGCGGAGGAAAAATAACGAAAGAAGAATCCATCAGGAACAAGAGGGCTCTCGCAGCTGCTTAGCAGCTACGCTCGGGCCCTAAAAAACCTATACAGGAATAATAGGGCTCTACGCCCGGCTGCTCTGCAGCTGGCTCGGGCCCTAAAAAGTTATAAGAGTTTTAAGAATGTGGATTTTTGGGTTATCTTTGGCGCCCCCTAGAACCTAAACCGTGGGGTGCAGCGTCATGATTTGTACAACTTTTAATGGCCATGGGGTGTAGATTGGCCTGAGCAAATGTGGTGCTGGTGGAACGAAAGCCTTTGGAGGAGTTAGCGAAATTCCAATGTGTGCGGATCGGCAAAAAATGCGGAATAACCCTTTAACCATACATTTGACAGATACGCCCGCACTGACTTTTTTGTAGATCTTATTGCGATACATGTGTGTGTCAATTTTTGTGTCAATATGACAAAGCATACAGGCGTGACAGTCAATAGTGTGAATTTTCACCTTAGGGGGCGCTATGGAGCCATTTTGCATTTTATTGTTTCGGCGACTTCAGCATATCGAATTTTTCACCAGGCCCGGTCGTCCTGCCAAATTTCATGAGTTTTCGCCAGTGGGAAGTGAGTTTTTTTCCAGTTCAAAGGGGAGGAAAAAGAAGACTAGGGCCCCGTTGGGGCACTGGCGGGCCCGAGCCGTGTCGCGCCGCTCCCAGCGCGACCACCTACCCCTCCCGATCGCGTCACACTAAAGGTCCAAAGATGGTGTGCGCACTTGTCTGTGGTCATTTACCATTATAATGAATGGGAGGCGCAGTTTCTACCAAAACGCTCGCTGCAGACAAACTCCATGTCCTTTTTGAAAAAAGTCTGGACCATGAGTGAAGGCACAAACACAGCTAGTATATACCCAAATGGCAAGGTGCTCCTCCTTTCGGTTTTGCCGAGAGAGCGATGAATTAGAGCCATTGAGCGATGGGCAGGAAAAACTTGACTTTTTCTCCTGCCATTGGGGGGCGCTCTTTTGGGGAAAAAAAATTCCTTCACAAATGTGTTGATGACTGAACATTGCATCATCCTAGAAAACTTGGAGGCCAGTGAGGACAAAAATAAAGTTATAAGACTTTTAAAAATGTGGATATTTGGGTCATCTTTGGCGCCCCCTAGAACCTAAACCGTGGAGTGCAGCGTCATGATTTGAATAACTTTTAATGGCCATGGGGTGTAGATTGGCCTGAGCAAATTTGGTGTCAGTGGAACGAAAGCCTTAGGAGGAGTTAGCCACATTCCAATGTGTGCGAATCTGCAAAAAATGCGAAATAGCCCTTTAACTGTACATTTTACAGATACGCGCACATTGACTTTTTCATAGATCTTATTGAGATACACTTGATTGTCAAATTTTGTGTCAATATGACAAAGCATACAGGCGTGACACTCAACAATGTGTATATTCGCCTTAGGGGACAAGAAAAAATGGACTTTTTTCTCCTGCCATGGGGGGGCACTCTTTTGGCGAGTAAAAATTCCTTCACAAATGTGTTAATTGCTGGACATTGCATCATCCTAGAGAACTTGGAGGCCAGTGAGGACAAAAATAAAAAGTTATAAGACTTTTAAGAATGTGGATTTTTGGGTTATCTTTGGCGCCCCCTAGAACGTAAACCGTGGGGTGCAGCGTCATGATTTGTACAACTTTTAATGGCCATGGGGTGTAGATTGGCCTGAGCAAATGTGGTGCCGGTGGAACGAAAGCCTTCGGAGGAGTTAGCGAAATTCCAATGTGTGCGGATCGGCAAAAAATGCGAAATAACCCTTTAACCGTACATTTGACAGACACGCCCGTGCTGACTTTTTTGTAGATCTTATTGAGATACATGTGTGTGTCAATTTTTGTGTCAATATGACAAAGCGTACAGGCGTGACAGTCAATAGTGTGAATTTTCACCTTAGGGGGCGCTATGGAGCCATTTTGCATTTTATTGTTTGGGCGACTTCAGAATATCGAATTTTTCACCAGGCCCGGTCGTCCTGTCAAATTTCATGAGTTTTCGCCAGTGGGAAGTGGGCCATTTTCCCCTTCAAAGGGGAGGAAAAATAAGAAGAAAGAAAGAAAGAAAGAAGAAAGAAAAACTCATCAGGAACAACAGGGCTCTCGCAGCTGCTTAGCAGCTACGCTCGGGCCCTAAAGACTAGGGCCCCGTTGGGGCACTGGCGGGCCCGAGCTGTGTCGCGCCCCCCCCCAACGCGCTGCCTCCCCGTCCCATTCGCGTCCTCTGGCCATCGTCCTCTCTGGTGACGCCCATCACTGCAAAGACCCTTTTCCTTCATCGGGGTTTGCTGTTCTTCCTGCCAGTGCGTGTTGCTTTCACTTACACTTGCCACAGCCAGCCTCGTGAGTGCCTAGCCTATTGGATATCACTGTCACCTACACAGGACAGTCATTACCTTTCTATTAATACTTTGTTTTTTAATTAGGGCCCGAGCGTAGCTGCTAAGCAGCTGCGAGAGCCCTCTTGTTCCTGATGGATTCTTCTTTTGTTATTATTAGGGCCCGAGCCAGCTGCAGAGCAGCCGGGCGTAGAGCCCTATTATTCCTGTATAGGTTTTTCTTTCTTCTTTCTTTCTTTCTTTCTTTCTTTCTTCTTATTTTTCCTCCCCTTTGAAGGGGAAAATGGCCCACTTCCCACTGGCGAAAACTCATGAAATTTGGCAGGACGACCGGGCCTGGTGAAAAATTCGATATTCTGAAGTCGCCCAAACAATAAAATGCAAAATGGCTCCAAAGCGCCCCCTAAGGTGAAAATTCACACTATTGACTGTCACGCCTTTACGCTTTGTCATATTGACACAAAAATTGACACACACATGTATCTCAATAAGATCTACGAAAAAGTCAGTGCGGGCGTATCTGTCAAATGTACGGTTAAAGGGTTATTTCGCATTTTTTGCCGATCCGCACACATTGGAATTTCGCTAACTCCTCCGAAGGCTTTCGTTCCACTGGCACCACATTTGCTCAGGCCAATCTACACCCCATGGCCAATAAAAGTTGTACAAATCATGACGCTGCACCCCACGGTTTACGTTCTAGGGGGCGCCAAAGATAACCCAAAAATCCACAGTCTTAAAAGTCTTATAACTTTTTATTTTTGTCCTCACTGGCCTCCAAGTTCTCTAGGATGATGCAATGTCCAGCCATCAACACATTTGTGAAGGAATTTTTACTCGCCAAAAGAGCGCCCCCCCATGGCAGGAGAAAAAAGTCCATTTTTTCTTGTCTCCTAAGGCGAAAATACACACTGTTGACTGTCACGCCTTTACGCTTTGTCAAAATGACACAAAATTTGACACACACATGTATCTCAATAAGATCTACGAAAAAGTCAACGCGAGCGTATCTGTTCAATATACGGTTAAAGGGCTATTTCGCATTTTTTGCCGATTCGCACACATTGGAATGTGGCTAACTCCTCCTAAAGCTTTTGTCCCATCGGCTTCAAATTTGCTCAGGTCAATCTACACCCCATGGCCATTCAAAGTTGTACAAATCATGACGCTGCACCCCACGGTTTACGTTCTAGGGGGCGCCAAAGATAACCCAAAAATCCACAGTCTTAAAAGTCTTATAACTTTTTATTTTTGTCCTCACTGGCCTCCAAGTTTTCTAGGATGATGCAATGTCCAGCCATCAACACATTTGTGAAGGAATTTTTTCTCCCCAAAAGAGCGCCCCCCCCATGGCAGGAGAAAAAGTCAAGTTTTTCCTGCCCATCGCTCAATGGCTCAAACGCATCGCTCTCTCGGCAAAACCGAAAGGAGGAGCAACTTGCCATTTGGATATATACTAGCTGTGTTTGTGCCCTCACTCATGGTCCAGACTTTTTTCAAAAAGGACATGGAGTTTGTCTGCAGCGAGCGTTTTGGTAGAAACTGCGCCTCCCATTCATTATAATGGTAAATGACCACAGACAAGTGCGCACACCATCTTTGGACCTTGAGTGTGACGCGATCGGGAGGGGTAGGCGGTCGCGCTGGGGGTGGCGCGACGCGGCTCGGGCCCGACAGTGCCCCACCGGGGCCCTAGTTATTATTTTTCCTCCGCTTTAAACTGGAAAATGGCCCACTTCCCACTGGCGAAAACTCATGAAATTTGGCAGGACGACCGGGCCTGGTGAAAAATTCGATATTCTGAAGTCGCCCAAACAAGAAAATGCAAAATGGCTCCATAGCGCCCCCTAAGGTGAAAATTCACACTATTGACTGTCACGCCTGTACGCTTTGTCATATTGACACAAAAATTGACACACACATGTATCTCAATAAGATCTACAAAAAAGTCAGTGCGGGCGTATCTGTCAAATGTACGGTTAAAGGGTTATTTTGCATTTTTTGCAGATCCGCACACATTGGAATTTCGCTAACTCCTCCGAAGGCTTTCGTTCCACCGGCACCACATTTGCTCAGGCCAATCTACACTCCATGGCCATTCAAAGTTGTACAAATCATAATGCTGCACCCCATGGTTTAGGTTCTAGGGGGCGCCAAAAATAACCCAAAAATCCACATTCTTAAAAGTTTTATAAATTTTTTTTTTGTCCTCACTGGCCTCCAAGTTTTCTAGGATGATGCAATGTCCAGCCATCAACACATTTGTGAAGGAATTTTTACTCCCCAAAAGAGCGCCCCCCCATGGCAGGAATAAAAAGTCCATTTTTTCTTGTCCCCTAAGGTGAAAATACACATTGTTGAGTGTCACGCCTGTACGCTTTGTCGTATTGACAAAAAATTTGACACACACGTGTATCTCAATAAGATCTACGAAAAAGTCAATTGGCGCGTATCTGTAAAATGTACGGCTAAAGGGCTATTTTGCATTTTTTGCCGATTCGCACACATTGGAATGTGGCTAACTCCTCCTAAGGCTTTCGTCCCACTGACACCAAATTTGCTCAGGCCAATCTACACCCCATGGCCATTCAAAGTTGTAAAAATCATGCCGCTGCACCCCATGGTTTACGTTCTAGGGGGCGCCAAAGATGACCCAAATATCCACATTCTTAAAAGTCGTTTTGGCCACTGCAGGAGTACAGAGTACTGCAGGATACACACACACAGACACACACACACACACACACACACACACACACACACACACACACACACTCAGAGTCTGTTTTTTAGCACCTGCAAAAACATGCTATTTACATATTTGACAACAATGCAGAGGCTTCCTTTTGCCCCTGAAAAAAATCAAATTTCTAACACAACTTGACTGCTCATTTCTCCAAAAGACAACCATGAAGCTCCATCCAAACCTGAAGCAGGCAGTTGGTGCATGTGTACAGTAACCTGAGGGGAGTGAGGTGACTGCTTCTGAGGAGAACATGAGCAGTGAAGATTCACCTTGGAGCGAGAACAGGGACGTGCACATGATTATACGGGGGCAGGGGCTCAAGTTTTTTCCAGTCGTTTATACAATATGGAAATTAATGTGAAATTAAAAAACAAAGTATTAATAGAAAGGTAATGACTGTCCTGTGTAGGTGACAGTGATATCCAATAGGCTAGGCACTCACAAGGCTGGCTGTGGCAAGTGTAAGTGAAAGCAACACGCACTGGCAGGAAGAACAGCAAACGCCGATGAAGGAAAAGGGTCTTTGCAGTGATGGGCGTTACCAGAGAGGACGATGGCCAGAGGACGCGAATGGGACGGGGAGGCAGCGCGTTGGGGGGGGGGGGGGGGGGGGGGGGGGGGGGGGCGACACAGCTCGGGCCCGCCAGTGCCCCAACGGGGCCCTAGTTTCACATTAATTTCCATATTGTATAAACGACTGGAAAAAACTTGAGCCCCTGCCCCTGTATAATCATGTGCACGTCCCTGTTCTTGCTCCAAGGTGAATCTTCACTGCTCATGTTCTCCTCAGAAGCATTCACCTCACTCCCCTCAGGTTACTGTACACATGCACCAACTGCCTGCTTCAGGTTTGGATGGAGCTTCATGGTTGTCTTTTGGAGAAATGAACAGTCAAGTTGTGTTTGAAATTTGATTTTTTTCAGGGGCAAAAGGAAGCCTCTGCATTCTTGTCAAATATGTAAACAGCATGTTTTTGCAGGTGCTAAAAAACAGACTCTGAGTGTGTGTGTGTGTGTGTGTGTGTGTGTGTGTGTATCCTGCAGTACTCTGTACTCCTGCAGTGACCAAAAAGACTTTTAAGAATGTGGATTTTTGGGTCATCTTTGGCGCCCCCTAGAACTGCAGTACTCTTTACTCCTGCAGTGGCCAAAATGACTTTTAAGAATGTGGATTTTTGGGTCATCTTTGGCGCCCCCTAGAACGTAAACCGTGGGGTGCAGCGGTATGATTTTTACAACTTTGAATGGGCATGGGGTGTAGATTGCCCTGAGCAAATTTGGTATCGGTGGGACGAAAGCCTTAGGAGGAGATAGCCACATTCCAATGTGTGCGAATCGGCAAAAAATGCGAAATAGCCCTTTAACCGTACATTTGACAGATACGTGCCTATTGACTTTTTTGTAGATCTTATTGAGATACACGTGATTGTCAAATTGTGTGTCAATATAACAAAGTGTATAGGCGTGACACTCAACAATGTGTATTTTTACCTTAGGAGACAAGAAAAAATGGACTTTTTTCTCCTGCCATGGGGGGGCGCTCTTTTGGGGAGTAAAAATTCCTTCACAAATGTGTTGATGGCTGGACATTGCATCATCCTAGAAACCTTGGAGGCCAGTGAGGACAAAAATAAAAAGTTATAAGACTTTTAAGAATGTGGATTTTTGGGTTATCTTTGGCGCCGCCTAGAACATAAATCGTGGGGTGCAGCGTCATGATTTGTACAACTTTTAATGGCCATGGGGTGTAGATTGGCCTGAGCAAATGTGGTGCCGGTGGAACGAAAGCCTTCGGAGGAGTTAGCGAAATTCCAATGTGTGCGGATCGGCATAAAAAGCGAAATAGCCCTTTAACCATACATTTGACAGATACGCCCGCACTGACTTTTTCGTAGATCTTATTGAGATACACATATGTGTCAAATTTTGTGTCATTTTGACAAAGCGTACAGGCATCAGGTGAGTTTTCACCATAGGGGGCGCTATGGAGCCATTTTTCATTTTTTTGTTTGGACGACTTCAGAATATCAAATTTTTCACCAGGCCCGGTCGTCCTGCCAAATTTCCTGAGTTTTCGCCAGTGGGAAGTGGGCCATTTTCCAGTTTAAAGCGGAGGAAAAATAACGAAAGAAGAATCCATCAGGAACAAGAGGGCTCTCGCAGCTGCTTAGCAGCTACGCTTGGGCCCTAATAATAACAAAAGAAGAATCCATCAGGAACAAGAGGGCTCTCGCAGCTGCTTAGCAGCTACGCTCGGGCCCTAAAGAAAGAAGAAAGAAGAACCCATACAGGAATAATAGGGCTCTACGCCCGGCTGCTCTGCAGCTGGCTCGGGCCCTAATAAGACTTTTAAAAATGTGGATATTTGGGTCATCTTTGGCGCCCCCTAGAACCTAGACCGTGGGGTGCAGCGTCATGATTTGTACAACTTTGAATGGCCATGGGGTGTAGATTGGCCTGAGCAAATTTGGTGTCAGTAGAACGAAAGCCTTAGGAGGAGTTAGCCACATTCCAATGTGTGCGAATCGGCAAAAAATGCAAGATAGCCCTTTAACCGTACATTTTACAGATATGTGCCCATTGACTTTTTCGTAGATCTTATTGAGATACACGTGTGTGTCAAATTTTGTGTCAATATGACAAAGCGTATAGGCGTGACACTGAACAATGTGTATTTTCACCTTAGGGGACAAGAAAAAATGGCCTTTTTTGTCCTGCCATGGGGGGGGCGCTGTTTTGGGGAGTAAAAATTCCTTCACAAATGTGTTGATGGCTGGACATTGCATCATCCTAGAAAACTTGGAGGCCAATGAGGACAAAAATAAAAAGTTATAAGATTTTTAAGAATGTGGATTTGTGGGTTATCTTTGGCGCCCCCTAGAACGTAAACCATGGGGTGCAGCGTCATGATTTGTACAACTTTCAATGGCCATGGGGTGTAGATTGGCCTGAGCAAATGTAGTGCTGGTGGAACAAAAGCCTTCGGAGGAGTTAGCGAAATTCCAATGTGTGCGGAACGGCAAAAAATGCGAAATAACCCTTTAACCGTACATTTGACAGATACGCCCGCACTGACTTTTTTGTAGATCTTATTGAGATACATGTGTGTGTCAATTTTTGTGTCAATATGACAAAGCGTACAGGCGTGACAGTCAATAGTGTGAATTTTCACCTTTGGGGGCGCTATTGAGCCATTTTGCATTTTATTGTTTGGGAGACTTCAGAATATCGAATTTTTCACCAGGCCCGGTCGTCCTGCCAATTTTCATGAGTTTTCGCCAGTGGGAAGTGGGCCATTTTCCAGTTTAAAGCGGAGGAAAAATAATAACTAGGGCCCCGGTGGGGCACTGTCGGGCCCGAGCCGCGTCGCGCCGCCCCCAGCGCGACCGCCTCCCCCTCCCGATCGCATCACACTCAAGGTCCAAAGATGGTGTGCGCACTTGTCTGTGGTCATTTCCCATTATAATGAATGGGAGGCGCAGTTTCTACCAAAACGGTCGCTGCAGACAAACTACATGTCCTATTTGAAAAAAGTCTGGACCATGAGTGAGGGCACAAACACAGCTAGGATATATCCAAATGGCAAGTTGCTCCTCCTTACGGTGTTGCCAGGAGAGCGATGCGATTGAGCCATTGAGCGATGGGCAGGGTTAACTGGACTTTTTCTCCTGCCTTGGGGGGGGGGATGTGGATTCTTTTAAGAATGTGGATATTTGGGTCATCTTTGGCGCCCCCTAGAACGTAAACCATGGGGTGCAGCGGCATGATTTTTACAACTTTGAATGGCCATGGGATGTAGATCGGCTTGAGCAAATTTGGTGTCGGTGGGAAGAAAGCCTTAGGAGGAGTTAGCCACATTCCAATGTGTGCGAATCTGCAAAAAATGCGAAATAGCCCTTTAACCGTACATTTTACAGATACGTGCCCATTGACTTTTTCGTAGATCTTATGGAGATACACGTGTGTGTCAAATTTTGTGTCATTTTGACAAAGCGTATAGGCGTGACAGTCAAAAATGTGTTTTTTCACCTTAGGGGACAAGAAAAAATGGACTTTTTTCTCCTGCCATGGGGGGCGTTCTTTTCGGGAGTAAAAATTCCTTTACAAATGTGTTGATGGCTGTACATTGCATCATCCTAGAAAACTTGGAGGCCAGTGAGGACAAAAATAAAAAGTTATAAGACTATTAAGAATGTGGATTTTTGGGTTATCTTTGGCGCCCCCTAGAACCTAAACCGTGGAGTGCAGCGTCATGATTTGTACAACTTTTAATGGCCATGGGGTGTAGATTGGCCTGAGCAAATTTGGTGGCGGTGGAACTAAAGCCTTCGGAGGAGTTAGCAAAATTCCAATGTGTGCGGATCGGGAAAAAATGCGAAATAACCCTTTAACCGTACATTTTACAGATACGCCCGCACTGACTTTTTTGTAGATCTTATTGAGAAACATATGTGTGTCAATTTTTGTGTCAATATGACAAAGCGTACAGGCGTGACAGTCAATAGTGTGAATTTACACCTTAGGGGGCGCTATGGAGCTATTTTGCATTTTATTGTTTGGGCGACTTCAGAATATCGAATTTTTCACCAGGCCCGGTCGTCCTGCCAAATTTTATGAGTTTTCGCCAGTGGGAAGTGGGCCATTTTCCAGTTCAAAGGGGAGGAAAAAGAAGAAAGAAAGAAACAAAGAAAAACCACTACAGGAACAACAGGGCTCTACGCCCGGCTGCTCTGCAGCTGGCTCGGGCCCTAAAAAGAAACAAAGAAAAACCACTACAGGAATAATAGGGCCTCGCAGCTGCTTAGCAGCTACGCACGGGCCCTAACAAACTAGGGCCCCGGTGGGGCACTGGCGGGCCCGAGCCGTGTCGCGCCGCCCCCAGCGCGACCGCCTCCCCCTCCCGATCGCGTCACACTCAAGGTCCAAAGATGGTGTGCGCACTTGTCTGTGGTCATTTACCATTATAATGAATGGGAGGCGCAGTTTCTACCAAAATGCTCGCTGCAGACAAACTCCATGTCCTTTTTGAAAAAAGTCTGGACCATGAGTGAGGGCACAAACACAGCTTCCATATATCCAAATGGCAAGTTGCTCCTCCTTTCGGTTTTGCCGAGAGAGCGATGCGTTTGAGCCATTGGGCGAAGGGCAGGAAAAACTTAACTTTTTATCCTGCCATGGGGGGGCGCTCTTTTGGGGAGAAAAAATTCTTTCACAAATGTGTTGATGGCTGGACATTGCATCATCCTAGAAAACTTGGAGGCCAGTGAGGACAAAAATAAAAAGTTATAAGACTTTTAAATATGTGGATTTTAGGGTTATCTTTGGCGCCCCCTAGAACCTAAACCGTGGGGTGCAGCGTCATGATTTGAATAACTTTTAATGGCCATGGGGTGTAGATTGGCCTGAGCAAATGTGGTGCCAGTGGAACGAAAGCCTTAGGAGGAGTTAGCCACATTCCAATGTGTGCGGATCGGCAAAAAATGTGGAATAACCCTTTAACCGTACATTTGACAGATACGCGCGCATTGACTTTTTCGTAGATCTAATTGAGATACACATGATTGTCAATTTTTGTGTCATTTTGCCAAAGCGTACAGGCGTGACAGTCAACAATGTGTATTTTCACCTTAGGGGACAAGAAAAAATGGACTTTTTTCTCCTGCCATGGGGGGGCGCTCTTTTGGGGAGTAAAAATTCCTTCACAAATGTGTTGATGGCTGGACATTGCATCATCCTAGAAAACTTGGAGGCCAATGAGGACAAAAATAAAAAGTTATAAGATTTTTAAGAATGTGGATTTGTGGGTTATCTTTGGCGCCCCCTAGAACGTAAACCATGGGGTGCAGCGTCATGATTTGTACAACTTTCAATGGCCATGGGGTGTAGATTGGCCTGAGCAAATGTAGTGCTGGTGGAACAAAAGCCTTCGGAGGAGTTAGCGAAATTCCAATGTGTGCGGAACGGCAAAAAATGCGAAATAACCCTTTAACCGTACATTTGACAGATACGCCCGCACTGACTTTTTTGTAGATCTTATTGAGATACATGTGTGTGTCAATTTTTGTGTCAATATGACAAAGCGTACAGGCGTGACAGTCAATAGTGTGAATTTTCACCTTTGGGGGCGCTATTGAGCCATTTTGCATTTTATTGTTTGGGAGACTTCAGAATATCGAATTTTTCACCAGGCCCGGTCGTCCTGCCAATTTTCATGAGTTTTCGCCAGTGGGAAGTGGGCCATTTTCCAGTTTAAAGCGGAGGAAAAATAATAACTAGGGCCCCGGTGGGGCACTGTCGGGCCCGAGCCGCGTCGCGCCGCCCCCAGCGCGACCGCCTCCCCCTCCCGATCGCATCACACTCAAGGTCCAAAGATGGTGTGCGCACTTGTCTGTGGTCATTTCCCATTATAATGAATGGGAGGCGCAGTTTCTACCAAAACGGTCGCTGCAGACAAACTACATGTCCTATTTGAAAAAAGTCTGGACCATGAGTGAGGGCACAAACACAGCTAGGATATATCCAAATGGCAAGTTGCTCCTCCTTACGGTGTTGCCAGGAGAGCGATGCGATTGAGCCATTGAGCGATGGGCAGGGTTAACTGGACTTTTTCTCCTGCCTTGGGGGGGGGGGGATGTGGATTCTTTTAAGAATGTGGATATTTGGGTCATCTTTGGCGCCCCCTAGAACGTAAACCATGGGGTGCAGCGGCATGATTTTTACAACTTTGAATGGCCATGGGATGTAGATCGGCTTGAGCAAATTTGGTGTCGGTGGGAAGAAAGCCTTAGGAGGAGTTAGCCACATTCCAATGTGTGCGAATCTGCAAAAAATGCGAAATAGCCCTTTAACCGTACATTTTACAGATACGTGCCCATTGACTTTTTCGTAGATCTTATGGAGATACACGTGTGTGTCAAATTTTGTGTCATTTTGACAAAGCGTATAGGCGTGACAGTCAAAAATGTGTTTTTTCACCTTAGGGGACAAGAAAAAATGGACTTTTTTCTCCTGCCATGGGGGGGCGTTCTTTTCGGGAGTAAAAATTCCTTTACAAATGTGTTGATGGCTGTACATTGCATCATCCTAGAAAACTTGGAGGCCAGTGAGGACAAAAATAAAAAGTTATAAGACTATTAAGAATGTGGATTTTTGGGTTATCTTTGGCGCCCCCTAGAACCTAAACCGTGGAGTGCAGCGTCATGATTTGTACAACTTTTAATGGCCATGGGGTGTAGATTGGCCTGAGCAAATTTGGTGGCGGTGGAACTAAAGCCTTCGGAGGAGTTAGCAAAATTCCAATGTGTGCGGATCGGGAAAAAATGCGAAATAACCCTTTAACCGTACATTTTACAGATACGCCCGCACTGACTTTTTTGTAGATCTTATTGAGAAACATATGTGTGTCAATTTTTGTGTCAATATGACAAAGCGTACAGGCGTGACAGTCAATAGTGTGAATTTACACCTTAGGGGGCGCTATGGAGCTATTTTGCATTTTATTGTTTGGGCGACTTCAGAATATCGAATTTTTCACCAGGCCCGGTCGTCCTGCCAAATTTTATGAGTTTTCGCCAGTGGGAAGTGGGCCATTTTCCAGTTCAAAGGGGAGGAAAAAGAAGAAAGAAAGAAACAAAGAAAAACCACTACAGGAACAACAGGGCTCTACGCCCGGCTGCTCTGCAGCTGGCTCGGGCCCTAAAAAGAAACAAAGAAAAACCACTACAGGAATAATAGGGCCTCGCAGCTGCTTAGCAGCTACGCACGGGCCCTAACAAACTAGGGCCCCGGTGGGGCACTGGCGGGCCCGAGCCGTGTCGCGCCGCCCCCAGCGCGACCGCCTCCCCCTCCCGATCGCGTCACACTCAAGGTCCAAAGATGGTGTGCGCACTTGTCTGTGGTCATTTACCATTATAATGAATGGGAGGCGCAGTTTCTACCAAAATGCTCGCTGCAGACAAACTCCATGTCCTTTTTGAAAAAAGTCTGGACCATGAGTGAGGGCACAAACACAGCTTCCATATATCCAAATGGCAAGTTGCTCCTCCTTTCGGTTTTGCCGAGAGAGCGATGCGTTTGAGCCATTGGGCGAAGGGCAGGAAAAACTTAACTTTTTATCCTGCCATGGGGGGGGCGCTCTTTTGGGGAGAAAAAATTCTTTCACAAATGTGTTGATGGCTGGACATTGCATCATCCTAGAAAACTTGGAGGCCAGTGAGGACAAAAATAAAAAGTTATAAGACTTTTAAATATGTGGATTTTAGGGTTATCTTTGGCGCCCCCTAGAACCTAAACCGTGGGGTGCAGCGTCATGATTTGAATAACTTTTAATGGCCATGGGGTGTAGATTGGCCTGAGCAAATGTGGTGCCAGTGGAACGAAAGCCTTAGGAGGAGTTAGCCACATTCCAATGTGTGCGGATCGGCAAAAAATGTGGAATAACCCTTTAACCGTACATTTGACAGATACGCGCGCATTGACTTTTTCGTAGATCTAATTGAGATACACATGATTGTCAATTTTTGTGTCATTTTGCCAAAGCGTACAGGCGTGACAGTCAACAATGTGTATTTTCACCTTAGGGGACAAGAAAAAATGGACTTTTTTCTCCTGCCATGGGGGGGCGCTCTTTTGGGGAGTAAAAATTCCTTCACAAATGTGTTGATGAATGGACATTGCATCATCCTAGAAAACTTGGAGGCCAGTGAGGACAAAAATAAAAAGTTATAAGACTTTTAAAAATGTGGATTTTTGGGTTATCTTTGGCGCCCCCTAGAACGTAAACCGTGGGGTGCAGCGTCATGATTTGAATAACTTTTAATGGCCATGGGGTGTAGATTGGCCTGAGCAAATGTGGTGCCGGTGGAACGAAAGCCTTCGGAGGAGTTAGCGAAATTCCAATGTGTGCGGATCGGCAAAAAATGCGAAATAACCCTTTAACCGTACATTAGACAGATACGCGCGCATGGACTTTTTTGTAGATCTTATTGAGATACATGTGTGTGTCAATTTTTGTGTCATTTTGACAAAGCGTACAGGCGTGACAGTCAATAGTGTGAATTTTCACCTTAGGGGACAAGAAAAAATGGACTTTTTTCTCCTGCCATGGGGGGGCGCTCTTTTGGGGAGTAAAAATTCCTTCACAAATGTGTTGATGGCTGGACATTGCATCATCCTAGAAAACTTGGAGGCCAGTGAGGGCAAAAATAAAAAGTTATAAGACTTTTAAATATGTGGATTTTAGGGTTATCTTTGGCGCCCCCTAGAACCTAAACCGTGGGGTGCAGCGTCATGATTTGAATAACTTTTAATGGCCATGGGGTGTAGATTGGCCTGAGCAAATGTGGTGCCGGTGGAACGAAAGCCTTCGGAGGAGTTAGCGAAATTCCAATGTGTGCGGATCGGCAAAAAATGCGAAATAACCCTGTAACCGTACATTTGACAGATACGCCCGCACTGACTTTTTTGTAGATCTTATTGAGATACATGTGTGTGTCAATTTTTGTGTCATTTTGACAAAGCGTACAGGCGTGACAGTCAATAGTGTGAATTTTCACCTTAGGGGGCGCTATGGAGCCATTTTGCATTTTCTTGTTTGGGCGACTTCGGAATATCAAATTTTTTACCAGGCCCGGTCGTCCTGCCAAATTTCATGAGTTTTCGCCAGTGGGAAGTGGGCCATTTTCCAGTTCAAAGGGGAGGAAAAAGAAAAAAGAAAGAAAGAAACAAAGAACTAGGGCCCCGGTGGGGCACTGTCGGGCCCGAGCCGCGTCGTGCCGCCCCCAGCGTGACCGCCTCCCCCTCCCGATCGCGTCACACTCAAGGTCCAAAGATGGTGTGCGCACTTGTCTGTGGTCATTTCCCATTATAATGAATGGGAGGCGCAGTTTCTACCAAAACACTCACTGCAGACAAACTTCATGTCCTATTTGAAAAAAGTCTGGACCATGAGTGAGGGCACAAACACAGCTGGGATATATCCAAATGGCAGGTTGCTCCTCGTTACGGTGTTGCCTGGAGAGTGATGCGATTGAGCCATTGAGCGATGGGCAGGAAAAACTTGACTTTTTCTCCTGCCATGGGGGGGGGGGAATGTGGATTCTTTTAAGAGTGTGGATCTTTTGGTCATCTTTGGCGCCCCCTAGAACGTAAACCGTGGGGTGCAGCGTCATGATTTTTACAACTTTGAATGGCCATGGGGTGTAGATTGGCCTGAGCAAATTGGGTTTCAGTGGGACGAAAGCCTTAGGAGGAGTTAGCCACATTCCAATGTGTGCGAATCGGCAAAAAATGCAAAATAGCCCTCTAACCGTACATTTGACAGATACGCACCCATTGACTTTTGCGTAGATCTTATTGAGATACACGTGATTGTCAAATTTTGTGTCAATATGACAAAGCGTACAGGTGTCACACTCAACAATGTGAATTTTCACCTTACGGGACAAGAAAAAATGGACTTTTTTCTCCTGCCATGGGGGGGCGCTCTTTTGGGGAGTAAAAATTCCTGATGGCTGGACATTGCATCATCCTAGAAAACTTGGAGGCCAGTGAGGACAAAAATAAAAAGTTATAAGACTTTGAAATATGTGGATTTTAGGGTTATCTTTGGCGCCCCCTAGAACCTAAACCGTGGGGTGCAGCGTCATGATTTGAATAACTTTTAATGGCCATGGGGTGTAGATTGGCCTGAGCAAATGTGGTGCCGGTGGAACGCCAGCCTTAGGAGGAGTTAGCGAAATTCCAATGTGTGCGGATCAGCAAAAAATGCGGAATTACCCTTTAACCGTACATTTGACAGATACACGCGCATTGACTTTTTCGTAGACCTTATTGAGATACATGTGTGTGTCAAATTTTGTGTCAATATGACAAAGCGTACAGGCGTGACACTCAACAATGTGTATTTTCACCTTAGGGGACAAGAAAAAATGGACTTTTTTCTCCGGCCATGGGGGGGCGCTCTTTTGGGGAGTAAAAATTCCTTCACAAATGTGTTGATGGCTGGACATTGCATCATCCTAGAAAACTTGGAGGCCAGTGAGGGCAAAAATAAAAAGTTATAAGACTTTTAAATATGTGGATTTTAGGGTTATCTTTGGCGCCCCCTAGAACCTAAACCGTGGGGTGCAGCGTCATGATTTGAATAACTTTTAATGGCCATGGGGTGTAGATTGGCCTGAGCAAATGTGGTGCCGGTGGAAAGAAAGCCTTCGGAGGAGTTAGCGAAATTCCAATGTGTGCGGATCGGCAAAAAATGCGGAATAACCCTTTAACCGTACATTTGACAGATACGCCCGCACTGACTTTTTTGTAGATCTTATTGAGATACACATGTGTGTCAATTTTTGTGTCATTTTGACAAAGCGTAAAGGCGTGACAGTCAATAGTGTGAATTTTCACCTTAGGGGGCGCTATGGAGCCATTTTGCATTTTCTTGTTTGGGCGACTTCGGAATATCAAATTTTTCACCAGGCCCGGTCATCCTGCCAAATTTCATGAGTTTTCACCAGTGGGAAGTGGGCCATTTTCCAGTTCAAAGGGGAGGAAAAAGAAGAAACTAGGGCCCCGTTGGGGCACTGGCGGGCCCGAGCTGTGTCGCGCCCCCCCCCAACGCGCTGCCTCCCCGTCCCATTCGCGTCCTCTGGCCATCGTCCTCTCTGGTGACGCCCATCACTGCAAAGACCCTTTTCCTTCATCGGGGTTTGCTGTTCTTCCTGCCAGTGCGTGTTGCTTTCACTTACACTTGCCACAGCCAGCCTCGTGAGTGCCTAGCCTATTGGATATCACTGTCACCTACACAGGACAGTCATTACCTTTCTATTAATACTTTGTTTTTTAATTTCACATTAATTTCCATATTGTATAAACGACTGGAAAAAAACTTGAGCCCCTGCCCCTGTATAATCATGTGCACGTCCCTGTTCTTGCTCCAAGGTGAATCTTCACTGCTCATGTTCTCCTCAGAAGCATTCACCTCACTCCCCTCAGGTTACTGTACACATGCACCAACTGCCTGCTTCAGGTTTGGATGGAGCTTCATGGTTGTCTTTTGGAGAAATGAACAGTCAAGTTGTGTTTGAAATTTGATTTTTTTCAGGGGCAAAAGGAAGCCTCTGCATTCTTGTCAAATATGTAAACAGCATGTTTTTGCAGGTGCTAAAAAACAGACTCTGAGTGTGTGTGTGTGTGTGTGTGTGTGTGTATCCTGCAGTACTCTGTACTCCTGCAGTGACCAAAAAGACTTTTAAGAATGTGGATTTTTGGGTCATCTTTGGCGCCCCCTAGAACTGCAGTACTCTTTACTCCTGCAGTGGCCAAAATGACTTTTAAGAATGTGGATTTTTGGGTCATCTTTGGCGCCCCCTAGAACGTAAACCGTGGGGTGCAGCGGCATGATTTTTACAACTTTGAATGGGCATGGGGTGTAGATTGCCCTGAGCAAATTTGGTATCGGTGGGACGAAAGCCTTAGGAGGAGATAGCCACATTCCAATGTGTGTGAATCGGCAAAAAATGCGAAATAGCCCTTTAACCGTACATTTGACAGATACGTGCCTATTGACTTTTTTGTAGATCTTATTGAGATACACGTGATTGTCAAATTGTGTGTCAATATGACAAAGTGTATAGGCGTGACACTCAACAATGTGTATTTTTACCTTAGGAGACAAGAAAAAATTGACTTTTTTCTCCTGCCATGGGGGGGCGCTCTTTTGGGGAGTAAAGATTCCTTCACAAATGTGTTGATGGCTGGACATTGCATCATCCTAGAAACCTTGGAGGCCAGTGAGGACAAAAATAAAAAGTTATAAGACTTTTAAGAATGTGGATTTTTGGGTTATCTTTGGCGCCGCCTAGAACCTAAACCGTGGGGTGCAGCGTCATGATTTGTACAACTTTTAATGGCCATGGGGTGTAGATTGGCCTGAGCAAATGTGGTGCCGGTGGAACGAAAGCCTTCGGAGGAGTTAGCGAAATTCCAATGTGTGCGGATCGGCAAAAAAAGCGAAATAGCCCTTTAACCATACATTTGACAGATACGCCCGCACTGACTTTTTCGTAGATCTTATTGAGATACACATGTGTGTCAAATTTTGTGTCATTTTGACAAAGCGTACAGGCATCAGGTGAGTTTTCACCATAGGGGGCGCTATGGAGCCATTTTTCATTTTTTTGTTTGGACGACTTCAGAATATCAAATTTTTCACCAGGCCCAGTCGTCCTGCCAAATTTCCTGAGTTTTCGCCAGTGGGAAGTGGGCCATTTTCCAGTTTAAAGCGGAGGAAAAATAACGAAAGAAGAATCCATCAGGAACAAGAGGGCTCTCGCAGCTGCTTAGCAGCTACGCTCGGGCCCTAAAAAACCACTTGGGGAATAATAGGGCCTACGCCCGGCTGCTCTGCAGCTGGCTCGGGCCCTAATAATAACACTAGGGCCCCGTTGGGGCACTGGCGGGCCCGAGCCGTGTCGCGCCGCCCCCAGCGCGACCGCCTACCCCTCCCGATCGCGTCACACTCAAGGTCCAAAGATGGTGTGGGCACTTGTCTGTAGTCATTTACCATTATAATGAATGGGAGGCGCAGTTTCTACCAAAACGCTCGCTGCAGACAAACTCCATGTCCTTTTTGAAAAAAGTCTGGACCATGAGTGAGGGCACAAACACAGCTAGTATATATCCAAATGGCAAGTTGCTCCTCCTTTCCGTTTTGCCGAGAGAGCGATGCGTTTGAGCCATTGAGCGATGGGCAGGAAAAACTTGACTTTTTCTCCTGCCATGGGGGGGCGCTCTTTTGGGGAGAAAAAATTCCTTCACAAATGTGTTGATGGCTGGACATTGCATTCCTAGAAAACTTGGAGGCCAGTGAGGACAAAAATAAAAAGTTATAAGACTTTTAAAAATGTGGATATTTGGGTCCTCTTTGGCGCCCCCTAGAACGTAAACCGTGGGGTGCAGCGTCATGATTTGTACAACTTTAAATGGCCATGGGGTGTAGATTGACCTGAGCAAATTTGAAGCCGATGGGACAAAAGCTTTAGGAGGAGTTAGCCACATTCCAATGTGTGCGAATCGGCAAAAAATGCGAAATAGCCCTTTAATCGTACATTGAACAGATACGCTCGCATTGACTTTTTCGTAGATCGTATTGAGATACATGTGTGTGTCAATTTTTGTGTCATTTTGACAAAGCGTAAAGGCGTGACAGTCAACAATGTGTATTTTCGCCTTAGGAGACAAGAAAAAATGGACTTTTTTCTCCTGCCATTGGGGGGCGCTCTTTTGGGGAGTAAAAATTCCTTCACAAATGTGTTGATGGCTGGACATTGCATCATCCTAGAGAACTTGGAGGCCAGTGAGGACAAAAATAAAAAGTTATAAGACTTTTAAGACTGTGGATTTTTGGGTTATCTTTGGCGCCCCCTAGAACGTAAACCGTGGGGTGCAGCGTCATGATTTGTACAACTTTTAATGGCCATGGGGTGTAGATTGGCCTGAGCAAATGTGGTGCCGTTGGAACGAAAGCCTTCGGAGGAGTTAGCGAAATTCCAATGTGTGCGGATCGGCAAAAAATGCGAAATAACCCTTTAACCGTACATTTGACAGATACGCCCGCACTGACTTTTTTGTAGATCTTATTGAGATACATGTGTGTGTCAATTTTTGTGTCAATATGACAAAGCGTAAAGGCGTGACAGTCAATAGTGTGAATTTTCACCTTAGGGGGCGCTATGGAGCCATTTTGCATTTTATTGTTTGGGCGACTTCAGAATATCGAATTTTTCACCAGGCCCGGTCGTCCTGCCAAATTTCATGAGTTTTCGCCAGTGGGAAGTGGGCCATTTTCCAGTTTAAAGCGGAGGAAAAATAATAATAATAACTAGGACCCCGTTGGGGCACTGGCGGGCCCGAGCCGTGTCGCGTCCCCCCCCCCCCCCCCAACGTGCTGCCTCCCCGTCCCATTTGTGTCCTCTGGCCATCGCCCTCTCTGGTAACGCCCATCACTGCAAAGACCCTTTTCCTTCATCGGCGTTTGCTGTTCTTCCTGCCAGTGCGTGTTGCTTTCACTTACACTTGCCACAGCCAGCCTCGTGAGTGCCTAGCCTATTGGATATCACTGTCACCTACACAGGACAGTCATTACCTTTCTATTAATACTTTGTGTTTTAATTTCACATTAATTTCCATATTGTATAAACGACTGGAAAAAACTTGAGCCCCTGCCCCTGTATAATCATGTGCATGTCTCTGTTCTAGCTCCAAGGTGAATCTTCACTGCTCATGTTCTCCTCAGAAGCACTCACCTCACTCCCCTCAGGTTACTGTACACATGCACCAACTGCCTGCTTCAGGTTTGGATGGAGCTTCATGGTTGTCTTTTGGAGAAATGACCAGTCAAGTTGTGTTTGAAATTTGATTTTTTTCAGGGGCAAAAGGAGCCTCTGCATTCTTGTCAAATATGTAAATAGCATGTTTTTGCAGGTGCTAAAAACCAGACTCTGAGTGTGTGTGTGTGTGTGTGTGTGTGTGTGTGTGTGTGTGTGTGTGTGTGTGTGTGCGTTCAAGTCACATGACATATTTAACCGGATGTAGCTGCAAGACGGAGCCTCGTTGACTCTCCGTTTCAACTTATCTCAAAAGTGAGGACCTCAACCTATATACCAGTTTTTAAATTGTGTTGATAGGCCAAATAAAACCAGAGTTATGATAAATTATGTCCGCGATATTTTTTTCTGCTTATTTTGATCACGTTCGGCGCTCGATCGCGCTGTATGAGACAGGAAAACATAGCATGCAGACATTAGCGACAGTTCTTACAGGCGGAAAAGGCTTGCCAAAAAAAAAAAAAACACACCACAACATCTCTCCTATTGGTGGAAAACTTCACCACAACAACCAATCCAAAATTATATGGTGACTGATTGACAAGGGGGGGCGCTTACGTTCTTCCTGCAACATGAGAAGGGAGGGAGGGACTCTCAGCAGGGATGCAGTCTGGGACACGTAGTTGCAAACCTAGCGACTTTGTTGTTAGATTCAATGACTTTTCAGACCCCCTAACGACTTTTTTTTAGAAAGAAAGGGACTTTTATCGACTTCTTCTGGAGTTTAGAGACTCTGACATGAAGCAGGCTTTCCATACTGAGGAGTTAGCAACGCTGCTAAGGGTGCAGAGCCACACATGCGCTCAGAGCTCTGCATGGGAGACTGAAGCTGACAGAGCTGCAGCAGTTAGCAGGTTTCACCCTCAGAGACCACCACGGGTTCATGTTGAGGCATTAAAAATTTTTTTTTTTTTTTGTGCCATAGACACTGTCAGCACAATCTGCAGTTACACTAACAAAAATGCTGCAAAAAACAAAGAATTATGGAAAAATTACACATGGACTGACATAGAGGAGGATCTACACAAGTTTTTTACATCATGTTTTACATCATGCATCATTTACATCATGTTTTTTTGTAGTGGCATAAATAAAAAGTGACATTTGTGAGACTATACAGTGTTTTGTAAATAATTTTACAAAGAACGCCTGGGCCATTGCCTGCATTTTGATGTAAATAGAGGTAAATTACTATGTTCTTTGTTAAAAATTTGCATATGTTTTGAAGTTTACAATTTTTATTTGAAGTTTAAGTTTTAAAAACAGTTCATCACACATATTTGTGGTTTAATTTCACATTAATTTCCATATTGTATAAATGACTGGAAAAAACTTGAGCCCCTGCCCCTGTATAATCATGTGCACGTCCCTGTTCTAGCTCCAAGGTGAATCTTCACTGCTCATGTTCTCCTCAGAAATAGTCACCTCACTCCCCTCAGGTTACTGTACACATGCACCAACTATCTGCTTCAGGTTTGAAATGGAGCTTCATGGTTGTCTTTTGGAGAAATGAACAGTCAAGTTGTGTTTGAAATTTGATTTTTTTCAGGGGCAAAAGGAAGCCTCTGCATTCTTGTCAAATATGTAAACAGCATGTTTTTGCAGGTGCTAAAAAACAGACTCTGGTGTGTGTGTGTGTGTGTGTGTGTGTGTGTGTGTGTGTGTGTGTGTGTGTGTATGTTGGCGTGTGTGTATATGTGTGTGTATCCTGCAGTACTCTGTACTCCTGCAGTGGCCAAAAAGACTTTTAAGAATGTGGATTTTTGGGTCATCTTTGGCGCCCCCTAGAACTGCAGTACTCTGTACTCCTGCAGTGGCCAAAATGACTTTTAAGAATGTGGATATTTGGGTCATCTTTGGCGCCCCCTAGAACGTAAACCGTGGGGTGCAGCGTCATGATTTTTACAACTTTGAATGGGCATGGGGTGTAGATAGCCCTGAGCAAATTTGGTATCGGTGGGACGAAAGCCTTAGGAGGAGATAGCCACATTCCAATGTGTGCGAATCGGCAAAAAATGCAAAATAGCCCTTTAACCGTACATTATACAGATACGCGCTCTTTGACTTTTTCGTAGATCTAATTGAGATACACATGATTGTCAAATTTTGTGTCAATATGACAAAGCGTTCAGGCGTGACACTCAACAATGTGTCTTTTTATGTAAGGGGACAAGAAAAAATTGCCTTTTTTCTCCTACCATGGGGGGGCGCTCTTTTGGGGAGTAAAAATTCCTTCACAAATGTGTTGATGGCTGGACATTGCATCATCCTAGAAAACTTGGAGGCCAGTGAGGACAGAAATAAAAAGTTATAAAACATTTAAGAATGTGGATTTTTGGGTTATCTTTGGCGCCCCCTAGAACCTAAACCATGGGGTGCAGCATCATGATTTGAATAACTTTTAATGGCCATGGGGTGTAGATTGGCCTGAGCAAATGTGGTGCCGGTGGAACGAAAGCCTTCGGAGGAGTTAGCGAAATTCCAATGTGTGCGTATCGGCAAAAAATGCAGAATAACCCTTTAACTGTACATTTGACAGATACGCGCGCACTGACTTTTTTGTAGATCTTATTGAGTTACATGTGTGTGTCAATTTTTGTGTCATTTTGACAAAGCGTATAGGCGTGACACTCAACAATGTGTATTTTCACCTTAGGGGACAAGAAAAAATTGACTTTTTTCTCCTGCCATGGGGGGGCGCTCTTTTGGGGAGTAAAAATTCCTTCACAAATGTGTTGATGGCTGGACATTGCATCATCCTAGAAAACTTGGAGGCCAGTGAGGACAAAAATAAAAAGTTATAAGACTTTTAAAAATGTGGATTTTAGGGTTATCTTTGGCGCCCCCTAGAACCTAAACCGTGGGGTGCAGCGTCATGATTTGAATAACTTTTAATGGCCATGGGGTGTAGATTGGCCTGAGCAAATGTGGTGCCGGTGGAACGAAAGCCTTCGGAGGAGTTAGCGAAATTCCAATGTGTGCGGATCGGCAAAAAATGCGAAATAACCCTTTAACCGTACATTTGACAGATACGCCCGCACTGACTTTTTTGTAGATCTTATTGAGCTACATGTGTGTGTCAATTTTTGTGTCATTTTGACAAAGCGTACACGCGTGACAGTCAATAGTGTGAATTTTCACCTTAGGGGGCGCTATGGAGCCATTTTGCATTTTCTTGTTTGGGCGACTTCGGAATATCAAATTTTTCACCAGGCCCGGTCGTCCTGCCAAATTTCCTGAGTTTTCGCCAGTGGGAAGTGGGCCATTTTCCAGTTCAAAGGGGAGGAAAAAGAAGAAAGAAAGAAAGAAAGAAACAAAGAAAAACCCCTTGGGGAATAATAGGGCCTACGCCCGGCTGCTCTGCAGCTGGCTCGGGCCCTAATAATAACAAAAGAAGAATCCATCAGGAACAAGAGGGCTCTCGCAGCTGCTTAGCAGCTACGCTCGGGCCCTAAGAAAGAAACAAAGAAAAACCACTTGGGGAATAATAGGGCTCTCGCAGCTGCTTAGCAGCTACGCTCGGGCCCTAAAAACCACTTGGGGAATAATAGGGCCTACGCCCGGCTGCTCTGCAGCTGGCTCGGGCCCTAAAGAAAGAAAGAAATAAAGAAAGAAAGAAGAAAGAAAAACCTATACAGGAATAATAGGGCTCTACGCCCGGCTGCTCTGCAGCTGGCTCGGGCCCTAATAAGACTTTTAAAAATGTGGATATTTGGGTCATCTTTGGCGCCCCCTAGAACCTAAACCGTGGGGTGCAGCGTCATGATTTGTACAACTTTGAATGGCCATGGGGTGTAGATTGGCCTGAGCAAATTTGGTGTCAGTAGAACGAAAGCCTTAGGAGGAGTTAGCCACATTCCAATGTGTGCGAATCGGCAAAAAATGCAAGATAGCCCTTTAACCGTACATTTTACAGATATGTGCCCATTGACTTTTTCGTAGATCTTATTGAGATACACGTGTGTGTCAAATTTTGTGTCATTTTGACAAAGCGTATAGGCGTGACACTGAACAATGTGTTTTTTCACCTTAGGGGACAAGAAAAAATGGCCTTTTTTGTCCTGCCATGGGGGGGGGCGCTGTTTTGGGGAGTAAAAATTCCTTCACAAATGTGTTGATGGCTGGACATTGCATCATCCTAGAAAACTTGGAGGCCAATGAGGACAAAAATAAAAAGTTATAAGACTTTTAAAAATGTGGATATTTAGGTCATCTTTGGCGCCCCCTAGAACCTAAATCGTGGGGTGCAGCGTCATGATTTGTACAACTTTGAATGGCCATGGGGTGTAGATTGGCCTGAGCAAATTTGGTGTCAGTAGAACGAAAGCCTTAGGAGGAGTTAGCCACATTCAAATGTGTGCGAATCGGCAAAAAAAACAAGATAGCCCTTTAACCGTACATTTTACAGATATGTGCCCATTGACTTTTTCGTAGATCTTATTGAGATACACGTGTGTGTCAAATTTTGTGTCAATATGACAAAGCGTATAGGCGTGACACTGAACAATGTGTATTTTCACCTTAGGGGACAAGAAAAAATGGCCTTTTTTGTCCTGCCATGGGGGGGCGCTGTTTTGGGGAGTAAAAATTCCTTCACAAATGTGTTGATGGCTGGACATTGCATCATCCTAGAAAACTTGGAGGCCAATGAGGACAAAAATAAAAAGTTATAAGATTTTTAAGAATGTGGATTTGTGGGTTATCTTTGGCGCCCCCTAGAACGTAAACCATGGGGTGCAGCGTCATGATTTGTACAACTTTCAATGGCCATGGGGTGTAGATTGGCCTGAGCAAATGTAGTGCTGGTGGAACGAAAGCCTTCGGAGGAGTTAGCGAAATTCCAATGTGTGCGGAACGGCAAAAAATGCGAAATAACCCTTTAACCGTACATTTGACAGATACGCCCGCACTGACTTTTTTGTAGATCTTATTGAGATACATGTGTGTGTCAATTTTTGTGTCAATATGACAAAGCGTACAGGCGTGACAGTCAATAGTGTGAATTTTCACCTTTGGGGGCGCTATTGAGCCATTTTGCATTTTCTTGTTTGGGAGACTTCAGAATATCGAATTTTTCACCAGGCCCGGTCGTCCTGCCAAATTTCATGAGTTTTCGCCAGTGGGAAGTGGGCCATTTTCCAGTTTAAAGCGGAGGAAAAATAATAACTAGGGCCCCGGTGGGGCACTGTCGGGCCCGAGCCGCGTCGCGCCGCCCCCAGCGCGACCGCCTCCACCTCCCGATCGCGTCACACTCTAGGTCCAAAGATGGAGTGCGCACTTGTCTGTGGTCATTTCCCATTATAATGAATGGGAGGCGCAGTTTCTACCAAAACACTCGCTGCAGACAAACTACATGTCCTATTTGAAAAAAGTCTGGACCATGAGTGAGGGCACAAACACAGCTAGGATATATCCAAATGGCAAGTTGCTCCTCCTTTCGCTTTTGCCGAGAGAGCGATGCGATTGAGCCATCGAGCGATGGGCAAGAAAAACTTGACTTTTTCTCCTGCCATGGGGGGAGGGGGGGGGATGTGGATTCTTTTAAGAATGTGGATATTTGGGTCATCTTTGGCACCCCCTAGAACGTAAACCGTGGGGTGCAGCGTCATGATTTTTACAACTTTGAATGGCCATGGGGTGTAGATTGGCCTGAGCAAATCTGGTGTCAGTGGGACGAAAGCCTTAGGAGGAGTTAGCCACATTCCAATGTGTGCGAATCGGCAAAAAATGCAAAATAGCCCTTTAACCGTACATTTTACAGATATTTGCGCATGACTTTTTCATAGATCTTATTGAGATACACGTGATTGTCAAATTTTGTGTCATTTTGACAAAGCGTACAGGCGTGACACTCAACAATGTGTATTTTCACCTTATGGGACAAGAAAAAATGGACTTTTTTCTCCTGCCATGGGGGGGCGCTCTTTTGGGGAGTAAAAATTCCTTCACAAATGTGTTGATGGCTGGACATTGCATCATCCTAGAAAACTTGGAGGCCAGTGAGGACAAAAATAAAAAGTTATAAGACTTTTAAGAATGTGGATTTTTGGGTTATCTTTGGCGCCCCCTAGAACCTAAACCGTGGGGTGCAGCGTCATGATTTGTACAACTTTTAATGGCCATGGGGTGTAGATTGGCCTGAGCAAATTTGGTGTCAGTGGGACGAAAGCCTTAGGAGGAGTTAGCCACATTCCAATGTGTGCGGATCGGCAAAAAATGCGAAATAGCCCTTTATCCGTACATTATACAGATACGCGCTCTTTGACTTTTTCGTAGATCTTATTGAGATACACGTGTGTGTCAAATTTTGTGTCAATATGACAAAGCGTTCAGGCATGACACTCAACAATGTGTATTTTCACCTTAGGGGACAAGAAAAAATTGACTTTTTTCTCCTGCCATGGGGGGGCGCTCTTTTGGGGAGTAAAAATTTCTTCACAGATGTGTTGATGGCTGGACATTGCATCATCCTAGAAAACTTGGAGGCCAGTGAGGACAAAAATAAAAAGTTATAAGACTTTTAAGACTGTGGATTTTTGGGTTATCTTTGGCGCCCCCTAGAATGTAAACCGTGGGGTGCAGCGTCATGATTTGTACAACTTTTAATGGCCATGGGGTGTAGATTGTCCTGAGCAAATTTGTTGCCGGTGGAACGAAAGCCTTCGGAGGAGTTAGCGAAATTCCAATGTGTGCGGATCGGCAAAAAATGCGAAATAGCCCTTTAACCGTACATTTGACAGATACGCCCGCACTGACTTTTTTGTAGATCTTATTGAGATACACATGTGTGTCAAATTTTGTGTCATTTTGACAAAGCGTACAGGCGTCAGGTGAGTTTTCACCATAGGGGGCGCTATGGAGCCATTTTTCATTTTTTTGTATGGGCAACTTCAGAATATCGAATTTTTCACCAGGCCCGGTCGTCCTGCCAAATTTCCTGAGTTTTCGCCAGTGGGAAGTGGGCCATTTTCCAGTTTAAAGCGGAGGAAAAATAACGAAAGAAGAATCCATCAGGAACAAGAGGGCTCTCGCAGCTGCTTAGCAGCTACGCTCGGGCCCTAACTAGGGCCCCTGTGGGGCACTGTCGGGCCCGAGCCGCGTCGCGCCGCCCCCAGCGCGACCGCCTCCCCCTCCCGATCGCATCACACTCAAGGTCCAAAGATGGTGTGCGCACTTGTCTGTGGTCATTTACCATTATAATGAATGGGAGGCGCAGTTTCTACCAAAACGGTCGCTGCAGACAAACTACATGTCCTATTTGAAAAAAGTCTGGACCATGAGTGAGGGCACAAACACAGCTAGGATATATCCAAATGGCAAGTTGCTCCTCCTTACGGTGTTGCCAGGAGAGCGATGCGATTGAGCCATTGAGCGATGGGCAGGGTTAACTGGACTTTTTCTCCTGCCTTGGGGGGGGGGGGGGGGATGTGGATTCTTTTAAGAATGTGGATATTTGGGTCATCTTTGGCGCCCCCTAGAACGTAAACCATCGGGTGCAGCGGCATGATTTTTACAACTTTGAATGGCCATGGGATGTAGATCGGCTTGAGCAAATTTGGTGTCGGTGGGAAGAAAGCCTTAGGAGGAGTTAGCCACATTCCAATGTGTGCGAATCTGCAAAAAATGCGAAATAGCCCTTTAACCTGTACATTTTACAGATACGTGCCCATTGACTTTTTCGTAGATCTTATTGAGATACACGTGTGTGTCAAATTTTGTGTCATTTTGACAAAGCGTATAGGCGTGACAGTCAACAATGTGTTTTTTCACCTTAGGGGACAAGAAAAAATGGACTTTTTTCTCCTGCCATGGGGGGGCGTTCTTTTCGGGAGTAAAAATTCCTTTACAAATGTGTTGATGGCTGTACATTGCATCATCCTAGAAAACTTGGAGGCCAGTGAGGAGAAAAATAAAAAGTTATAAGACTATTAAGAATGTGGATTTTTGGGTTATCTTTGGCGCCCCCTAGAACCTAAACCGTGGAGTGCAGCGTCATGATTTGTACAACTTTTAATGGCCATGGGGTGTAGATTGGCCTGAGCAAATTTGGTGGCGGTGGAACTAAAGCCTTCGGAGGAGTTAGCGAAATTCCAATGTGTGCGGATCGGGAAAAAATGCGAAATAACCCTTTAACCGTACATTTTACAGATACGTGCCCATTGACTTTTTCGTAGATCTTATTGAGATACACGTGATTGTTAAATTTTGGGTCAATATGACAAAGCGTATAGGCGTGACACTCAACAATGTGTATTTTCACCTTAGGGGACAAGAAAAAATGGACTTTTTTCTACTGCCATGTGGGGGCGCTCTTTTGGGGAGTAAAAATTCCTTCACACATGTGTTGATGGCTGGACATTGCATCATCCTAGAGAACTTGGAGGCCAGTGAGGACAAAAATAAAAAGTTATAAGACTTTTAAGACTGTGGATTTTTGGGTTATCTTTGGCGCCCCCTAGAACATAAACTGTGGGGTGCAGCGTCATGATTTGTACAACTTTTAATGGCCATGGGGTGTAGATTGGCCTGAGCAAATTTGGTGGCGGTGGAACTAAAGCCTTCGGAGGAGTTAGCAAAATTCCAATGTGTGCGGATCGGGAAAAAATGCGAAATAACCCTTTAACCGTACATTTTACAGATACGTGCCCATTGACTTTTTCGTAGATCTTATTGAGATACACGTGATTGTCAAATTTTGGGTCAATATGACAAAGCGTATAGGCGTGACACTCAACAATGTGTATTTTCACCTTAGGGGACAAGAAAAAATGGACTTTTTTCTACTGCCATGTGGGGGCGCTCTTTTGGGGAGTAAAAATTCCTTCACACATGTGTTGATGGCTGGACATTGCATCATCCTAGAGAACTTGGAGGCCAGTGAGGACAAAAATAAAAAGTTATAAGACTTTTAAGACTGTGGATTTTTGGGTTATCTTTGGCGCCCCCTAGAACATAAACTGTGGGGTGCAGCGTCATGATTTGTACAACTTTGAATGGCCATGGGTTGTAGATTGGCCTGAGCAACTATGGTGTCAGTGGGACGAAAGCCTTCGGAGGAGTTAGCGAAATTCCAATGTGTGCGAATCGGCAAAAAATGCAAAATAGCCCTTTTACCGTACATTATACAGATACGCGCTCTCTGACTTTTTCGTAGATCTAATTGAGATACACATGATTGTCAATTTTTGTGTCAATATGACAAAGAGTTCAGGCGTGACACTCAACAATGTGTATTTTCACCTTAGGGGACAAGAAAAAATGGACTTTTTTCTCCTGCCATGGGGGGGCGCTCTTTTGGGGAGTAAAAATTCCTTCACAAATGTGTTGATGGCTGGACATTGCATCATCCTAGAAAACTTGGAGGCCAGTGAGGACAAAAATAAAAAGTTATAAGACTTTTAAATATTTGGATTTTAGGGTTATCTTTGGCGCCCCCTAGAACGTAAACCGTGGGGTGCAGCGTCATGATTTTTACAACTTTTAATGGCCATGGGGTGTAGATTGGCCTGAGCAAATGTGGTGCCGGTGGAACGAAAGCCTTCGGAGGAGTTAGCGAAATTCCAATGTGTGCAGATCGGCAAAAAATGCGAAATAAACCTTTAACCGTACATTATACAGATACGCGCTCTTGACTTTTTCGTAGATCTTATTGAGATACACGTGTGTGTCAATTTTTGTGTCAATATGACAAAGCGTACAGGCGTGACAGTCAATAGTGTGAATTTTCGCCTTAGGGGGCGCTATGGAGCCATTTTGCATTTTATTGTTTGGGCGACTTCAGAATATCGAATTTTTCACCAGGCCTGGTCGTCCTGCCAAATTTCATGAGTTTTCGCCAGTGGGAAGTGGGCCATTTTCCAGTTTAAAGCGGAGGAAAAATAATAACTAGGGCCCCGGTGGGGCACTGGCGGGCCCGAGCCGTGTCGCGCCGCCCCCAGTGCGACCGCCTACCCCTCCCGATCGCGTCACACTCAAGGTCCAAAGATGGTGTGCGCACTTGTCTGTGGTCATTTACCATTATAATGAATGGGAGGCGCAGTTTCTACCAAAACGCTCGCTGCAGACAAACTCCATGTCCTTTTTGAAAAAAGTCTGGACCATGAGTGAGGGCACAAACACAGCTAGTATATATCCAAATGGCAAGTTGCTCCTCCTTTCGGTTTTGCCGAGAGAGCGATACATTTGAGCCATTGAGCGTTGGGCAGGAAAAACTTGACTTTTTCTCCTGCCATGGGGGGGCGCTCTTTTGGGGAGTAAAAATTCCTTCACAAATGTGTTGATGGCTGGACATTGCATCATCCTAGAAAACTTGGAGGCCAGTGAGCACAAAAATAAAAAGTTATAAGACTTTTAAAAATGTGGATGTTTGGGTCCTCTTTGGCGCCCCCTAGAACGTAGACCGTGGGGTGCAGCGTCATGATTTTTACAACTTTGAATGGCCATGGGGTGTAGATTGGCCTGAGCAAATTTGGTGTCAGTGGGACGAAAGCCTTAGGAGGACTAAGCCACATTCCAATGTGTGCGAATCTGCAAAAAATGCGAAAAAGCCCTTTAACTGTACATTTTACAGATACGCGCGCATTGACTTTTTCGTAGATCTTATTGAGATGCACGTGATTGTCAAATTTTGTGTCAATATGACAAAGCGTACAGGCGTGACATTCAACAATGTGTATTTTCGCCTTGGGGGACAAGAAAAAATGGACTTTTTTCTCCTGCCATGGGGGGGCGCTCTTTTGGGGAGTAAAAATTCCTTCACAAATGTGTTGATGGCTGGACATTGCATCATCCTAGAGAACTTGGAGGCCAGTGAGGACAAAAATAAAAAGTTATAAGACTTTTAAGACTGTGGATTTTTGGGTTATCTTTGGCGCCCCCTAGAACCTAAACCGTGGGGTGCAGCGTCATGATTTGTACAACTTTGAATGGCCATGGGTTGTAGATTGGCCTGAGCAACTATGGTGTCAGTGGGACGAAAGCCTTCGGAGGAGTTAGCGAAATTCCAATGTGTGCGAATCGGCAAAAAATGCAAAATAGCCCTTTTACCGTACATTATACAGATACGCGCTCTCTGACTTTTTCGTAGATCTAATTGAGATACACATGATTGTCAATTTTTGTGTCAATATGACAAAGAGTTCAGGCGTGACACTCAACAATGTGTATTTTCACCTTAGGGGACAAGAAAAATGGACTTTTTTCTCCTGCCATGGGGGGCGCTCTTTTGGGGAGTAAAAATTCCTTCACAAATGTGTTGATGGCTGGACATTGCATCATCCTAGAAAACTTGGAGGCCAGTGAGGACAAAAATAAAAAGTTATAAGACTTTTAAATATTTGGATTTTAGGGTTATATTTGGCGCCCCCTAGAACGTAAACCGTGGGGTGCAGCGTCATGATTTTTACAACTTTTAATGGCCATGGGGTGTAGATTGGCCTGAGCAAATGTGGTGCCGGTGGAACGAATGCCTTCGGAGGAGTTAGCGAAATTCCAATGTGTGCAGATCGGCAAAAAATGCGAAATAAACCTTTAACCGTACATTATACAGATACGCGCACTTGACTTTTTTGTAGATCTTATTGAGATACATGTGTGTGTCAATTTTTGTGTCAATATGACAAAGCGTACAGGCGTGACAGTCAATAGTGTGAATTTTCACCTTAGGGGGCGCTATGGAGCCATTTTGCATTTTATTGTTTGGGCGACTTCAGAATATCGAATTTTTCACCAGGCCTGGTCGTCCTGCCAAATTTCATGAGTTTTCGCCAGTGGGAAGTGGGCCATTTTCCAGTTTAAAGCGGAGGAAAAATAATAATAACTAGGGCCCCGGTGGGGCACTGGCGGGCCCGAGCCGTGTCGCGCCGCCCCCAGTGCGACCGCCTACCCCTCCCGATCGCGTCACACTCAAGGTCCAAAGATGGTGTGCGCACTTGTCTGTGGTCATTTACCATTATAATGAATGGGAGGCGCAGTTTCTACCAAAACGCTCGCTGCAGACAAACTCCATGTCCTTTTTGAAAAAAGTCTGGACCATGAGTGAGGGCACAAACACAGCTAGTATATATCCAAATGGCAAGTTGCTCCTCCTTTCGGTTTTGCCGAGAGAGCGATACATTTGAGCCATTGAGCGATGGGCAGGAAAAACTTGACTTTTTCTCCTGCCATGGGGGGGCGCTCTTTTGGGGAGTAAAAATTCCTTCACAAATGTGTTGATGGCTGGACATTGCATCATCCTAGAAAACTTGGAGGCCAGTGAGCACAAAAATAAAAAGTTATAAGACTTTTAAAAATGTGGATGTTTGGGTCCTCTTTGGCGCCCCCTAGAACGTAGACCGTGGGGTGCAGCGTCATGATTTTTACAACTTTGAATGGCCATGGGGTGTAGATTGGCCTGAGCAAATTTGGTGTCAGTGGGACGAAAGCCTTAGGAGGACTAAGCCACATTCCAATGTGTGCGAATCTGCAAAAAATGCAAAAAAGCCCTTTAACCGTACATTTTACAGATACGCGCGCATTGACTTTTTCGTAGATCTTATTGAGATGCACGTGATTGTCAAATTTTGTGTCAATATGACAAAGCGTACAGGCGTGACATTCAACAATGTGTATTTTCGCCTTGGGGGACAAGAAAAAATGGACTTTTTTCTCCTGCCATGGGGGGGCGCTCTTTTGGGGAGTAAAAATTCCTTCACAAATGTGTTGATGGCTGGACATTGCATCATCCTAGAGAACTTGGAGGCCAGTGAGGACAAAAATAAAAAGTTATAAGACTTTTAAGACTGTGGATTTTGGGTTATCTTTGGCGCCCCCTAGAACCTAAACCGTGGGGTGCAGCGTCATGATTTGTACAACTTTGAATGGCCATGGGTTGTAGATTGGCCTGAGCAACTATGGTGTCAGTGGGACGAAAGCCTTCGGAGGAGTTAGCGAAATTCCAATGTGTGCGAATCGGCAAAAAATGCAAAATAGCCCTTTTACCGTACATTATACAGATACGCGCTCTCTGACTTTTTCGTAGATCTAATTGAGATACACATGATTGTCAATTTTTGTGTCAATATGACAAAGAGTTCAGGCGTGACACTCAACAATGTGTATTTTCACCTTAGGGGACAAGAAAAAATGGACTTTTTTCTCCTGCCATGGGGGGGCGCTCTTTTGGGGAGTAAAAATTCCTTCACAAATGTGTTGATGGCTGGACATTGCATCATCCTAGAAAACTTGGAGGCCAGTGAGGACAAAAATAAAAAGTTATAAGACTTTTAAATATTTGGATTTTAGGGTTATCTTTGGCGCCCCCTAGAACGTAAACCGTGGGGTGCAGCGTCATGATTTGTACAACTTTTAATGGCCATGGGGTGTAGATTGGCCTGAGCAAATTTGGTGCCGGTGGAACGAAAGCCTTCGGAGGAGTTAGCGAAATTCCAATGTGTGCGGATCGGCAAAAAATGCGAAATAGCCCTTTAACCGTACATTTGACAGATATGCCCGCATTGACTTTTTTGTAGATCTTATTGAGATACACATGTGTGTCAAATTTTGTGTCATTTTGACAAAGCGTACAGGTGTCAGGTGAGTTTTCACCATAGGGGGCGCTATGGAGCCATTTTTCATTTTTTTGTTTGGGCGACTTCAGAATATCAAATTTTTCACCAGGCCCGGTCGTCCTGCCAAATTTCCTGAGTTTTCGCCAGTGGGAAGTGGGCCATTTTCCAGTTTAAAGCGGAGGAAAAATAACAAAAGAAGAATCCATCAGGAACAAGAGGGCTCTCGCAGCTGCTTAGCAGCTACGCTCGGGCCCTAAAGAAACAAAGAAAAACCACTACAGGAATAATAGGGCTCTACGCCCGGCTGCTCTGCAGCTGGCCCGGGCCCTAAATAAAATAAAACTATATACAATATACACAA